ATCAGAAAATACAAATATCCTCTACAGCAGAATCACTGACTTATCTGAGAGGAAGATCCTGCCTTTGATGAATACGAAAGTACTTCAAGACAACACTTCTCCCTCACAACATCCAGGCTAAAGATGCAGTGGCATGGGTATTTTGTGTTTTGTTTATCCCACATATTTCACAGTTTTTCTGCATGTTCCAATCCAAGCATTACCACCACTTACCATTATTTTGAACTTTATCCTCCTCTTATTTTTTCAACTGTTTTCACTCACTTTCTGGAGCAAAAAAGCTCTAACAACGCCATCACCCTCCTGCTGCCGAAACACCACCAGCACTCTTAGCAGCAAACAGCAAGAGACAAGCATAAAGCCAGCACAACATTTTAGTATTGATTTCTCTAGGAAATTTAAATCCCGCAGGGCATAAACATCAATTTAATCTGTATGCAACTACAAAATGGCTTCGCTCCTTGTTTCAGGCAAAACACTGCTACAACTCGAGTAGAAACATACTCAGTTGTGAGGACAGACAGACTGAACAAGCACCCCAAAGCTGCCAGTAATTAGCAACAGAGTTGGAGGCTACAATTGTAGAATCCAGGCAAAGACAATCACCAGCCTAACACAAAGCTATTGCTGAGTGCCTCAACCAGTGGCATCTCACCTTGCCAAACTGGAGAGCAAGCTACCATCAAGACGACCACCACTGTGCTGCAAAGTGACAGCCTCACACCTCACCTTCAGGCTGCCTTGCCTCCACCTGACAACATGAACAATGAAACAACAGCTCCATGTACTAATTGCTGTTTTCTGAGCTGCCCTTGCTCCACCAGGCTGCTTTCCCTGCAGACAAAGAGCCACACGTTATTGCTACCCTCAACCAGCAGCAATGAGCACCTGATGAAAACACCTCCTGAAAAAACAGAAAGGCAAACTCCATGTTGCTACATTTATGTAATCTTAGGCTGAGTTCTTTAAAGTGAAAACACCTGTTTTCTAATTACTGAAAACTCAGGCCCAGCGTGCTCTGAAATTTCCTTGTTTTCCTAGCCAAGCACTTAAACTGCTGTTTTGTTTAAGGATGCATCCTGTTGTATATTGAATGAGAAAGATGCATTTTCACACTTGACACACCAGTAACATATGGCACTTAAGAAAAAAAAAAAAAAAAGGCTCCTTCTTAGGCTCCTTCTTAGTACAGTGCAAAAAAACACAGACATGTCTGTGTCACCCCAGCCAATATATAAGCACCAAGTAGTGTCAGCAGAATTCAGGGCACCAGCATTGTTTGCAAGTGATGGATTTATGTACGTAACAAACTGTAAATTACTTAATAAACACAGATGCAGGATTTTATGGACAGTGCGTTTGCTTGCAAAACTTGGCACCTTCTATCCATCTCCCCCTGCTGATGACAGTTGGGTGGCAGAATCAGATTGCTGAAGGTATAAAAATGTAATACAATCAGCACAGTGGGCAGCTACAGTGTCAAGAAGCCACTAGCAGGTAAAACAACGTGAATGCCGAGCCCTGTACAAAAGCTAACAGCTTCAAGACAACCCCCTACTCCAGATAATTATCCTATCTGCAAGGCAGGGTTCATTAATTGCTGCTGCAGCTTCACAGCTCTAGCATATCTGAACTCATATCTACACACAGACTGCTCAGATTGCCATCAACATACCAGCACATCATTTAAATATCTGTTGTTTGTACGTGTAACCAATGCCAGAACCCCAACTTTTGCACTGTTTTCCTTCAGCATACATCACATACACCTCTGTAGCATTTACTTCACTGACTGGTGACCAGGGGAGAAGATTTTCTCCCAACAATCATTAGTTTTGCAGGTGTTCACCAGAACAAGTTCACTGCGTGCAAGCAAGGACAATCATCATGTTCTCCAGCCCAGTGTCAATATGAATTTTCAGGAGTAAGGAGTAGAATCAACAGTGACGTGATCATCAAGATTATTAAAGTATGTCAGTGGCTCAGAGTGATCTGCCACTGTAGTTTTATAGCTGCTGTGATTACCCGTGTCACTGAGCTGCAGACATTGTAATCTCTCTATGAAGTTGCCATGGTTTTAACTACAGAAACGTGTATGTTCCTTATTACAAAAGGTTCCCAAAACAGCCAACAAGCACAGCTATATGATCAGCATCTGAACTCCATTTGTGAGCTTGGCTTTCAAAAGAGGATGGCTGCAAGCAGAAAAAGGATGTGACAAAACAGGTGTTTATGATACAATCAAAATCCAGGAAAATAAAAGCATAACAGCAAACCTTCAACTTATCTGCATGGATCTCTGAATGAGAGGATGTAAACAACAGGCACAGACCAAACTTCACTTGTTTGCTTCTAGATCACAACACTCTATCCAACCCTTAAGCAAAACAGGATACAGGGTGTTACTGAATGATTTCCCCTGAAATCTGATTGACAAAGATTAGAGCAATTGGAGCACAGTGACACACACTTTTAAACCCCTCAAATCACAACCAATGTAAGGTCTAACTTTTCTCTCAAAGATCATCCGGCGACTCTCTGCCATTTTCAGCAGGCAGAAACACACATCCCAGCCTCAAAGGAAAAAAATCATGAGACAGAATCCCCTGCCCTCTACTGGCACACAAGCTGCACTGAAGCCTGCATACACACACAGCAGCTGAAGAGCTGCTTTAAGGCTTAGTATACTATTCTTCATAGTTTGTGAAAGATCTGTAATGTATTGGATGTGTCAAACTTGCTGAATAATCTCATATGTAAAACTATACTTCAGCATCATTGCACCTCTTCCTGCAGAGCCAGGTAGAATGAGAAGCTTTAAAGTACTTCTACTAGCAAGATAATACATTCATTAACTGAAAATAAATTCTAAGAAATTATATAACACATGTAATGTTTGCAGCACATATCCAAGAACTCTGAAAGACAAAAGTATTTTCCACAAAATTCTCTTCCCCTAAAAAGCCACTTTCTGGCATACCTGCAAGCTTTCACGATTACGGTCAGCCAAAGTGCATTTGGCCCAGGAGTGGAGAAGCAGGTTCACAACTCTGCAAAAATGACTTTGCAGCACCTTGATGCCAGGTGTAGAAATCCTCAGCCAGATTTCTGGCTCATTTGCTCATTTGAGATGGTGCCATGTAAACCTCAGGATGACTTCAGAAAGTGCTTGTTGTGACTGACCGTATCACTTCCATCTTCTGTTGCAGATAGATTTAGAAGTGCCATCACTTAACCTTCTGGATTTTGCAAGTAGTTATTACTCACAGTAAGTATTCTCTTACTGATGTGAACAACAGATTTACACTGCTGTAATTGCATTTGTGAATGCAATTCTTGATTCCTGAAAGTAAATTCCCCATGTAGAATAGGCCTAAAAAGAATTGAATAAGCACAAGGATCCTGACTGCATCTTTCATACAAAAAGTAAATGAGGTTTAATCACATTAAAGCCAAAAAAAGCAGCCTGAAAAGCAGCACAGCTTCAACTATGAAACAAGAGAAAGCCTGATAGTAGAGTAACTCCCACAGAGCTCATCCATACCCTGAAACACGTTCAGAACACACCCTGTTTTCAGAGCTGTCACACAACAAATGCAGATGCAAGCTTGCCATCACCACACAAACAACAGAAGATGACATTTCAATAATACCACTAAGGAAAAGTAGGAGATGCATACAGCCTACACTATGTACAGCAGTTCTTTCTCAAAGCAATTCATCTGTTAGTTACCAAATAGCTAGACCCTCGGGATGAAACAAAGCAAAAGCATACAAGGTTCCAAGGAATCTACAGGAAAACAATCTCCTTTTTGCTGTAGATCCTACAGCACTAAAATTAAAAAAAAGGTATGTGTTCTTTTAAAGCTTATGAAATCCTACAACAAGTGAGGTTTTCATCTGCCCTACTTAGCCTCAACACACGTAGAGACAATTTCTACCCACTCATTCCTGCGTCAGAGTTGTCTGACATCCTAAATAGTTCTTCTCCGACTCTGTATTTGTCTGAACCCTGACATTCATGAAGTACAAATGTATCCTCTTCAACCATGTGCTTCCTAGCTGCATAAGCCCATCATACTGTAGAGCCACACCTACAAACAGAGTAGAAATTGGTATTTTAAACACAATCTATTTGAATCTCTGTTTGCATAAATAACCTCCACAATTAAATACTGTTTCAAGTACAGAAGAAAAACAAAGTCACAACAGTATCCCTCGTGATTGCGGACAAGAGCACAGAGGTTGGAGAAAATAAAAGGCTTGTAAAGAAAGTGCTCAGGATTTGCTTTGAAGTGTATCAATAACCAACATTTTATTCTGCAAAGTCATTATTTTAGAAAACTCTCAAGAAGAGTTGAAAAGTGTTTTTAAGATGCCACTGGATGATGTACTGGCAGAAAAGAAATAAAAACAAAACAGCTTCTCAAATTTCCTGTATTTTTCCCCTTGAATTACACAGGTAGTAGTGATTCTGCTCCCACCTCTATATGTAAAATACCAGCTGATTTTGCTGCACTAAAAATTCTGGAGTGCAAGATCTTTTCCTTTCTAAATCACAAGACAGGAAAATGACTTCTGTTTCATTAGCAGAAAACTCTGGAGATAAGTGAGCATCTTATGGCAGGTCCGGGAACTAACATAGATTTCAGATTTTCTGAGTTACAGCATGGTGCCTTAGGCAGAAGCCTAGTCTTTTTTTCACTTAACAAAGCTATCAAAGTCAAAGCTCTTATTTAAAAATTGACAATGCAGCTTAGTAACAAATAGCAAGAATACTTGCAAAGATGTAATCGAAGTTTAATCATTGCTGCTTCTTTAGTTAACATCTGCAAAAGCTTGTCCCCAGCAAACTGTCAAAAATGTTTCCAGCAGGCTCATTCAGAAGTCATACCAGTTTCTGTATGTACGATTCACAATACTGACATTACTGCCAGAGCTCCCATCTTTGTGTTTGAACTGTATTACCATTAGTTCTGCAGCACTGTCAGCATACTTACTGACTTTATACCCCAGCTTTTCAGCATGAATCCTCTTGGCCATGAACTGCCCTTCAATCAAGGCTCGTATTTCCACCTCCTTTGGAAAGTTCAAAACCTGTATCAAAAGAATGAATGCATTAAGTTATCCAGCATCTTACACAGTATACAACGCCAGGCTGGTGACAGGTTAAAAGCACAAGACAGATTTACAGTTCATTATCCTTGTCTTCACTCTGAAGTCAGCTTTCAGCTAGGCCAGTCCTCTATTCGTATGCATAAGACAAGTAAAGACTCAAAAACGCAACCCGTAACCTTGGAACTGCTGGCAAATCCATCAGTCCTGAAATCAATGCAGAACGGAAAGAGGACTAGTGTGAGTTGTAAACTATTAGTATTTCTCAACACCAAAGGCTGCTTAAGGATCAATACCTCAAAAATTGAAAAATTAAAGTATATAAAATTCAAACGCTTCAAGCAATACCAGAGAGTTTAAATCTATGTATTTCTGTCTGCACAGAAGTGAAACAAGCTTTTTGTTAGTTGTTACAAGTAGCATCTTTCAGTCCTCTGTTAACCAGATGAAAGCTAGCAGAAGTGGGAAAACATTGAACTAAAAAAAAAGAACGTTTCACAAAAAAGTTGACTTTGTCCTTGTACCACAACCAGTGCCTACAAACCTGTGAAACAGCAAGAAGCAACTAAGCGTTCGTTTAAACAGTAGGCACTTGGAACTTGGAAGCGAGCATCTCAGGCAAGAGATAACAGCAAACACTTCAAGCTTTGGCAGCACACCTTCAAGGTTTTAGGCAATAACTAGATTATCAGTACCTTTTGGTTGTTGCTGTTGAATCTGTGAATCCCAACTGCTTCAGGAGTGATTTCCATCACGTCGAAGTAGAAGCCTGCATCAGTTAACATTCAAGAGTGTCATGTTTTCTCCTAGCTCAACGCTGTAATCTTATTTCAGCACAGAGCTGAAATAATAAATACAAATCATTACGTTTAGAAAGACATTTGGTATACCATACAGCTTGTTTCTTAACTAATTTCAGTCCATATTTAATAAGTTTAATTACTTTTGGCTTTACAAAAAAGAGGCTGGCTCTAGGCCTCTAACACTTCATTAGAAATCTAAGCAATACAATAAAAGATAAGTCTACCAAAACAGTTCCCATCCACCGGATCACGTACATATGCAAGTAGCAGAGTACTAAGATAATATATAATAGAAATAGTTTCAGTAAATTACTTGCAAAGTTGAAAGAAAAAAAATGAAAAAGAGAGGTTTGTAAGAAGTGTGTAGGAATAGCAGAACATTCCATGCACTGGATTAGATTTCATGAATTTATGAGAGAGCATCAGATGTTTTAAGTCACAAAGCAGAACTGGTCTCTGAATATTATTGAGATCTAAGGAAATGCAGTAATGCTTTGCAGACACTTAGAGGAAAAATTGTGAAAAAGATTTCCTTTGCGTTGATGGCAAGTTGGTCAGAAAAGATGCTCAGGAAAGGAGACAAAAAACAAAACAAAACAAGAATTGGAAAGCTGATCAGAGCAGCTAGGAAACTAAGCACAGACTGTAAGGCTCAGGTCTTCAGAATGAGGATATGCTGCCCTAGGAGACCAATAAGCATTAGCCCCCAAGAAAACTTCACCCTAGCAGCTGCCTCTGCTCATCTCCACATCTCCAAAGCCTCCAAAGGCATCATCTTGCTCAGTGTGCAGGGAACAAGGGATAAAAGAAAGGAAGCCAAACCAGGCTCTTCTCCACTCTGCTTTGTTCAGGAAATCAGAGACTCCTATATTTTCACATGTTTACAATATCTCAAATAACCCAGAAGTCACGCAAGGTTATCAGTTATCAAAACTGAAGGATAGGTTTCACAGAACACCCACTTTTATAGAGGACTGAGTTACCCAAGTGAATATATCGTAACACAAGTTTTAAATTCTAGGCAGTGTCCTGCTATCCCTGATATCAATAACAAGGTTTTCATCAACTTCCATTTTTCTTTCACTATTGTCTGACTTTTGGAATAATTTCCTCCTATCAACTGACCTGATTCATCTAGTGGCAAGAAATGCCTGACCACTTTAACACCCCCCCAGAGACTGGATTTGACAGGTCATAACATGAATTCACAGAATCACAGAATGACCTGGGTTGGAAGGGACCTCAAGGATCACGAAGCTCCAACCCCCTGCCACATGCAGGGCCACCAACCTCCACATTCAATATTAAACCAGGCTGCCCAGGGCCCCATCCAACCTGGCCTTGAACACCTCCACGGATGGGGCATCCACAGCCTCTCCGGGCAGCTGTTCCAGCACCTCACCACTCTCTCTGTAAAGAATTTCTCCCTGACATCCAACTTAAATCTTCCCTCCCTCAACTTAAAACCATTTCCCCTTGTCCTGCTGTTATCTACCCTCTCAAAGAGTTGATTCCTCCTGTTTGTAGGCTCCCTTTAGGTACTGAAAGGCTGCCATGAGGTCACCCCGCAGCCTTCTTTTCTCCATGCTGAACAAGCCCAGCTCCCTCAGCCTGTCCTCATAGGGGAGGTGCTCCAGTCCCCTGATCATCTTCGTGGCCTCCTCTGGATCCTCTCCAACAGCTCCCTGTCTTTTTCATACTGGGATTCTGAACATGAAATCAGTGCTAACCTCACTTTGTCAAGAAACTGCATCTTAAATTCACTTTCCTAAAGATTGAAGTCTTCCATAGTTTAATAATCCTACAGTGTTTTTTTAAAATTAATTTGACTCAGATCTAACATGATTGCAATGATTTCAAATACGACAGTCAAATATTAATCTTGATTATACAAACACTCATCTTTCAATACCTTGAAAATGTTAAATTTTCAAAAATAAAATAATGTAAAAATTCAAATACATGAGTCTGTTAATATTTTTAAATTGTTTTGATTATTTCCTTTCATTCACTTAGCCTAATGTTGGGTAAAATCAGGGATGAAGAGCCTTTACAACACATGTAGGGGAAAATGCAGGACATTAGGTAAGATTTGATATTACTGCTTTATTCACATGCACAGAGCAAGATTCTAGAGAAATGTTAAGAGATCAGAATGATTGAAGACTGAGAAAAAAAAGCATGGGGCTATTTAAACCACATGGCTTGTGACCTCAGCAAAAAACAAATCTCCTTCAGAAATTACTCATTTTAAACAATCTGCAGTTAACTCCTTTTCAGTGGCCGAAAGAGATCCATAAATATCTTTTTCTTATTTTGAGTCAATTTTGAAGAAGAATACTGTAATGGCACTCAGCCTGCCAGAGTATTTCTGAGCACGCCTTAAAAATTTCCCTTGCACAGCTCAACGTAATTCTTAGTCCTTTCCATGACTCAAGTAAAAAGTAGGCACAACTCCCACTAAGTCATGTCTTTAATCAACCTCAGGAAATCCCAGCCCTGCTGAGGCTCGTACCCAAGTTCCCGTTGTTTCCAGCAGCAGTAGATGATAAGGCTTTGGAGAATTCATCCCAGGAGCCTGAAGCACACTCGTTTCGGATCCTCTCTCTCATCAGAGAGCCGTTCTTAAAACTGAAACACATAAACACACCATATGCATTTTCCAAACCATTTGGCTCTAGATTTTTAAAGCAAATTGCTGTTTTATGTAATATTGCTGCTTATTACATCAATTGAAGACAGCTGGGCAATCAAAACTATACTATCCTCTCTTCATTATGGAAACAGATGGAGAAGCAAGAAACTGGGTAAGAGAGAAAACTATTACAAGACACGTTGATGAACACAGTGCAGAGATGCTCTTCTACATCTCTCCAATGAGTTGGCTTACATCTAGGCCAGCAGATCACGCCATACTCAGTCTAGCTCTGAACAGCTACCACATCTCAGAGCACCAAGGACAGGAGTTGCAACCCAAAGCCTGGCTTATCACTGTTTCCTGGAGCCCAAAGCACTGAAGAACACACATCAGCTCTGCTCGTGCTGGCTGTAGAGCAGGACTTGGGGAGCTGTGTTTTTGTACTGAGAAATGGTCTGAATGGTGAGGAAGCTAACTTCCTGTCAGAAGCACTCTGTCATAGTAAGAAAAGGCTAGCTGTGAGATGACTGTAAGGAGGAAAAGCATCTCTTCACTGCATTACATCATTTATGATTTCAGGAGTGTTGTACTGGTATGGAGCCGGCTTGGGTCCAGTAAGACTTACGAGGCCTTGCTCCATGCCAGTATTGGCAAAGGAAGTCAAAACAGGGAAAAATTAGGAAAAAAATTGAAACTTAAATACGAAGCTTCAAAAATAGCCAACTGTTGAGAAATCATATTATGAAAATCAGTAACTTGCAACCAACATCAACATTCTAAACTCAACTTCACAACCCTGCTCCCACTGTCATCTACAGCATCCCATTCTTATTCAGATAAAGACATCACAATTAAAAGGCAGATGTGAGCTCTGCTGAAGCACCTACAGTCTGATTTTGTGATATCAAAAAAAAAAAAAAAACCAAAAAGAACAAGAGGTAATCTCAAAATCCAGAGGGAACAGGTTGCTTTAACCAGGAAGGCCATCAAATCTCCACTTCAGAAAATGCCATTTATACCCCAGCTAATTTGTAATAATTGAAACAACGTTACTACTATGCCATAAGAATCAGCCCAAGTTGGGGGAATCAAAATTCAAAATTTCTTTAAGAGGACTGTATCTGTACACTCACAACTAATGGGTCCATTACACCTTTCTAAAGTTCTTCCCAAGCAATAGCCCCATTCACTCCCACCGATAAATTCTGTGCTATGCTCTGTGCAACCCCAAGGATTTCCACTTCAAATGTATCTGTAAAATACTTGTATCTATAAATATTTGCCTCTGACTTGTAAGTTTTTTCCCTGAACACAGGGACAAGGTAGCTTCAGGTCCTCTTTCCACCTGCTTGCTTGGATAACAGCCAAACCATTCCCAGTTCACAGCAGCCAAAAGCCACCAGGAGGTTCATTCTCTCAGCTCGGTTTCTTGAGATCTCACTATTTTCCACATGCGCAGCCTAATCTGTCCCTGAACAGCACTGATTATACTCCTCCATGAAAAGAAACCTTTCACCTGCCCCTTTATGTCCCCCCTGGACCAGTAGAATAGCACAGAAGTTGTACAGTCTGGTCAAGCTTCCGGCATTCCAGATTATTACATTTCAAAAGGCTATTATTCCTATACCTTAAATATACCATCTTAGATTTATAGTGAACTGGCTCTATGAATATATAAAAATAATTTTGTCTTTTTATTGCCATGAAAATCTATCCATCATAACTCTGCAGTTGCAGTTACCCACGCTAAACAATGAGAATGCTCTAACACTGATGCAAATGTTTCAGCAATAGATTGCCTGAGACCATACAGAATGCTGAATGTTCTATTCATGATCATTTTGCAAAAGGAATAAAACACTAACACAGACAAATATGCTATTGATCCTAAACGTACCAAAAAAAAAAAAAAAAGATATTACCATAAAAGTGCCATGTATGTTTGAGAATCAACAGGATTGCAGAGGATATGACCTTCTAAGGCTGGAGTTGGCTCCTGGATCCACAGAAACAATGTGTCACTTGTGCCAAGGCTAATCTGGAGGAGAAGAAAAAAAAAGTAATTGAGGCGTTATCACAACGTGCATGGAAAGCAATACAGAAATTAAATTAAAACCATTTGTTATCACCACTAATTGTTTTTAAATTACACATTAAGTCAATTGGATTCATACTGAAGCTAGCTCTGACTTTCAGGTTGTCACATCAGTGAAATACATACTAGACAGAGACTTGGGCCTTAGTGACTGGAGCGTTAGTTAAAAATAGTTACACAGTTTGCTTAAAATCTTTCAGACAGCTTGCACATTGATAGAAATAAAACAAGCATGAAGCCAATAAACAGAAAATCAACACTGGCAGATTAATTTGACTGATAACCTACAGCTACTGCCCTTGTTACTGTTCCACATTTCATACACTCTACTTATTCAGGGACATGAACAGTTTCCAGAAATACGTTTCGACTTACTGCAATATCTCCTTCTTGAAGCCTCATCCCTGCCAATGATGCTGAAACCAGAAGTCAGATAAAAAGTTACTTGTGTGACTCAATTATAGCATACTGCATGAGACGTCACAGTACATTGAATTCACCACCTCAAAGCAGAATATAAATGGCAAGTATACTTGTGACAGCCTTGGCCTGTACAGCGTAAGAGTTTGGGCGATGGAGTTATTTTTGACACTGAATCAAAAACATTCAAGGCCAAGAGCTACAGAGCTGCAGGATTCTCTAACGTTTTGTATGTTCAAGTTTTAAATACTGTGGAGCCTTATTTAAAGCACAAAGGCTTCCACTTACAGACTACTCATGTATCTATTGGACTAAACTGAATTTTAATCTCAAGAAAAATCAATTCAATTTTCAAGACATTCATCTCCCATACTGCTCATGGGAAACATTCCAGGATGAATCCTATATCTCAATCCAAACCTGGACACACTCCTGTAATACAGTAAGCACTTTCACAGTCCTGAGAAACAGATGGCTTTGCTGTGTCTGCACTTAAACAGTTTTGAGGATTACAAAACCTGACCCTAAATTAACATCTTCCCTTATATTGGGATCTACCACTCTGACAAAAGGACAGCTCTAACTCTTGAAGAACAGCTGTAACATCTATCTCCATCTCTTTGACTCAAAAGATACAACAGCAGGCTTTGAATTCACATTTCCTAAGTCAAAAATGGAAGCAATTCATTTTAAGAATTGGCTGTTAGGTGGAGACAAACAAAAACTGAAGTTATCAGGAGGCAAATAAAGTCACCTCCAAATAATAGGCTAAGTGGAAGTCATTTGCAGTACTCTGTTTATCCAAGATGTCTATATCTAAGAATAATCAGTGAGGGATGGCTGTCAGAAAAAGCTATTAATGCTGATAAATGTGATATACTTTCACTGTATAAAGGAGCATCTGAGAATTAATAGTATTGATCTAGAATTTCAGCACACGCATAAACATATTCACTGAATCTTATACACTTAATCATCTCACCTGGATTGTCTCCTGTAAAGGCTACTATTTTACAGTCTGGGCTAAACTCATAACGCTGAACATAATATGGAGAAATGGATCCCTAAGGAAAGAAAGAAATACAGAGCAAGGAAAAAAAGCTCAAAATTGGAAAATAATCTCACAGAGTACAACACAGTGCTGTAACATAGTCCCAAAAACCCATAGAGCAGTTGAAAAATTTCTGTATATTTAAGGCATAAATATTTTCCTGATTTTGAATGCAATTTTTTTGTCAGACAATCTCAGAAACACACGCAGATTAGATTTTGAAATAGATCAAGTAAGCAGTAGCATTTTAGCCCTGGTTCACTCTCATGTTACTCACATCCAATAACAAACATATCCACCTATTCTGAACACATGCATGGAATACACAGAAACTAAAAATCCAATGCAAACACAACATTAATACACATCACAACATTAAACGTTGGAACATGAGGGGTCTGGAGCACAAGTTACGAGGAGCAGCTAAGGGACCTGGGATTGCCTAGCCTGGAGAAGAGAAGGCTCAGGGGAGACCTCATTGCTCTCTACAACTACCTGAAGGGAGGCTGGCCAAGGTGGGGGGTTGGCCTCTGTGATTAGAGACAGGAATAGAGGGAATGGCCTCAAGTTGCACCAGGGAGATTCAGGCTGGACATTAGGAAATAATGGAGGTGTTCAAAAAATATTTAGATGTACTGAGGGACATGGTTTGGTGAGAAATACTGGTAATAGGTGGATGGTTGGACTGGATGATCTTGGAGGTCTTTTCCAACCTCAGCAATTCTATGATTCTAATATGACACCTGTTATTTTACAGGCCAAGAACTGCACTTTTTTTTATTTTTTTTTTAAGCCACAGCTGACAGCCACAGAGGAAAAAAATAAGAGAACACAACAACTACCCTTACAAAAGTACAAGGACTTTTCAATGTTTCTCTCCATTAGAGAAGATTAGCATTAGAATCACAAGTCAGCTACATTAACCGACTGACTAAAGACGAATCAGTGACAGATATCTATACTGTTTCACATGTGCACCATCTAAAGCAATAGCTCTTTTCTTTTTTCTGGTAGATACTAAGACTAAATTGATCTACTTGAAGAGATGTGAGCCTTGATTTGATTTCGTCATTATGCTACATGAATTGAGGAGCTCTAAACATCCCCAATTATTCACAAAGATTAACTCATTAATTCTACAATTTAAAACAAGGCTCCTGCTAAGTAATGCAAATGTTGAGTTCTGTTTCTGCAGCAATAAAGGCCACACACAGTTCTGCAGTAGCCAGCTGACCAGAGGACATATATGGGGATTGGGAAGAGAAAACCCCAACAATTCTCATCACTGGAGCATCTGCCAAATTGTTGGTCTTCATAGCACAGAGCATGCTAGAATCCAGGGTGATCCACAGTGAAAGCTATGACAGATACCTGCTACCAGTTTCCAAAAGTGTCCTCTTCTGCTCTGACACGGATATGTACAGAATACCTGCAAGTATTAAATCAACCAACATCGCTCTGAGGGTAATTGTGCACATAGACACACACTCAAATATACTCCAAGAAAGAACCATCAGCAGAACTCTCAACAAAAAGCTCTAATTTTTTCCAGTGATAAATATTTTGCTGTTCTTTGTTGTTTGTGTGGGTTTGGTTTGCTGGTGGTTCTTATTTGTTTGCTCATTTAAACTTCTCTAGACAGGCACGTACCAGAACTGAATGGGATGGCACAGGGTTTCCCAGTTTCTCCACTAACCCTGGTGCACAAGCATCAAGGCAGGATGCCGACCACACCTTTTCCCAAATTTGCAGCAGATTCATACCAGAACCTGAAAGATACAGATCAAAACAAGAAGCACAGATCATTAAACACAAAACTTGGGTAAAGAAAACACCACTACATCACAAAATTCCACCCCGTTACAGGCAGCAGAGTTTACAGAAAACATTCTACATTCAAATAGAATGGTCTCAACCCTTCTAAGTACAATTGATACTGATGATTCTACCTAACTGCCTTTCATCTGCAAGGTTGCAGAAAATACTCCTCTGATGCACACTGCAACAGAAAAATCAGTTATTTTCAAATAAAGAAAAAAGAAAACATATCTCCCCACTGACTCCTCCTCAATCCTTCTGCTTTATAGAAATACTTCACTACTGTCTAGATGCAGCAGTGTCACCTGAAGGCAAGTTGTCCTCATCTGAGACCTAACAATGAAGAAATTCTATCCTAGGCAGCTTGTCTATGCACTACTATCTTTGAGCATCAAACCAGCACCTACATCCACTGCCCACATTGACTCATCTTCCTCCATATCAGTGCTTCCTTCTTCAAAGACAATGAAATAAAAATACCAGTTGCAAAAACAAAAACAAAAAAAACACCCCAGCTTAGAATCATAGAATCATTGAGGTTGGAAAAGACCACTAAGATCATCAAGCCCAACCACCAGGCCATCACCACCATGACCACTAAGCCACATCCCTCAGTGCCACATCTCCACGTTTCTTGAAAACCTGCAGGTATGGCAATTCTACCACTTTCCTGGGCACATCATTTTCTGTTTCACCTCTCATTGCTTTTTTCTCCTCACTGTTTTATTTGCATTGCCCCAGTTTATAAAGTTAACTGAAGCAGTGATCAAATCTAAGCAACCTACTAAGCACTCCACATCCCTTGCTTATATTTCTAGGTTGTCTTTAATTGCACATTTCATTAGACTTGAAAAATCTGTAAGCACTACTGGTTAATGCTGTTCAGGGACATATTAGTCTTACACTGGATTAACAACATTTTCATTTTGAAGACTGTCTAGCCTGTGACTTATTTATCTCAGAAACACAACCACGTTCTCAGCAGAGCACTGGAATACCTGAAGTTCAATTCAATACATCTTGAAACTGAAAAAACACAAAGGCAGTGAAGTTGACTCAGCAGGCACTGTCTGTGGAATAAGATGACACTCACAGTGCTGGGACACAGAGGAAGAGAAGGTTTGTAACCAAATTTCAGCCAGCATATCACAAGTCTCTTACTCTGAACAAATCCACAAGTCTGCCATACTCCCTCTGCATACCCCACTGCTGGTTAATCGTGCACAAATAAGCTGACATTATCAATTCCCAGCAGCCTTTTTCCACAGATTTAAGACATTTATTTATAAAATATCTATTCATACAGCTCAATCCTAAGCATCACCAACAAGGTCTGGACTTAGTGCTTTGCACTGCACAAGCACCTGAATAAACCAAGCCAAACAGCAGGAAATTTGAACTATGCTTAGTAACATTTAAAATAGAATTAAATTTGTTAAATTCAATTCATCTAATTTCACGCAAATTAAACACACTTAAATTATGCACCAGTTAGTTTCCTTCTCTACTGTTAGAGTCATTACCACCAAGAGAAGGAAAGATGATGACTCAGACCAGCTTTTCTCACTTCTCTTAAATCTAGCCATCCCTCCTGCCTAAGAAACCTGAGTCCAGCATCACCATCTGCTCTTCCAAGGGATGAAGGGAGTGAGCAGCCTCTTCCCAGGCCTCCCAGGCATAACAGGGCTGCCTAGGAAGAATTAAGCAAAGCTAGAAAGTTTCCTTGAAAATCTCCTAACCAGCGATCAAGGAAGTCTTTAAATAAATAGGAACTTTATTAGAGAAAGGGTAGCTGTTGTTTCCTCAGGGTTTAAATCCTTCACCCCCATACCCTGCAAGCATAGGGAAACACTCAACCAGTATCTTCCAATGCAGTTTTTGAAGATATAAGGAGTGCTTCCAATCTTTCCTCCATAAAATAGAGAAAACACTAACATTTATGACTGAAAAGGTCTAAGCTAATATATAAACTGAAACAGCACTTCAGTTTTATTGACTGGTAGACACAGTCACACAGAGACTCTGTTATGCCCTGATAAAAGACAGACAAACTAATTTACCTCACTCTCAAAAACTCATTTAAAAGATGTGAAACAACTACTTGATAAGAACAACCTGCCTATTGGCCCAGATCATCCTATCCAGCTACACACACCTGAAAGAGAAACCAGAGAGCTGGATGCTCCCTGGAACTGCTTGCTCCTTCAATTACACGTGGAGCAACACAACGAGCACCCAACTCAAGCACCTCTGGTTATGATCTATGCCACTTCTAGAAATAAAAGTGAGTAAAAAATGGCTTAAGAACATCATTAGGGGTCGGTGCTGGGGCCTGTCCTCTTCAATATCTTTATTGATGACCTCGATGAGGGCATCGAGTGCACCCTCAGTAAATTCGCAGATGACACCAAATTGGCTGGAAGTGTGGATCTGCCTGGGGGTAGTGAGGCCCCACAGAGGGATCTGGACAGGCTGGAGAGCTGGGCTGGAGCCAATGGGATGAGTTTCAACAAGGCCAAATGCCAGGTCCTACACTTCGGCCACAACAACCCCAGGCGACGCTACAGGCTTGGGGCGGTGTGGCTGGAGGACTGCGTAGAGGAAATGGACCTGGGGGTATTGATTGATGCTCGGCTGAACATGAGCCGACAGTGTGCCCAGGTGGCCAAGAAGGCCAATGGCATCCTGGCTTGCATCAGAAACAGTGTTGCAAGCAGGAGCAGAGAGGTGATTGTTCCCCTATATTCAGCACTAGTGAGGCCGCACCTCGAGTACTGTGTCCAGTTTTGGGCCCCTCACTGCAAGAAAGATATTGAGGCCCTGGAACGTGTTCAAAGAAGGGCAACAAAGCTGGTGAGGGGTCTGGAACACAGGCCATATGAGGAGAGGCTGAAGGAGCTGGGAATGTTCAGCCTGGAGAAGAGGAGGCTCAGGGGAGACCTTATTGCTCTCTATAACTTCCTGAAGGGAGGTTGTAGTGAGCTGGGGGTCGGCCTCTTCTCTCGTGTCATTAGTGATAGGACCAGGGGGAATGGCTTCAAGCTACGGCAGGGGAGATTCAGGCTGGACATGAGGAAGTATTACTTTTCAGAAAGGGTGGTCAGGCACTGGAATGGACTGCCCAGGGAGGTGGTGGAATCACCGACCCTGGGGGTGTTCAAGGAAAGACTGGATGTTGTGTTGAGGGACATGGTTTAGTAGGAGCTATTGGGAATAGGTGAACGGTTGGACTGGGTGATCTTTTAGGTCTTTTCCAACCTTAGTGATTCTATGATTCTATGATTCTATGATCATTGTAAGTTTAACATAAAAATAAGCAATAAAATTAAAAACAAGGAAGAAAAAACAACAAAATGCAACCCTTCAACTTGCCACTCCAGATGTCACCCCATCAGTAATGAGGAAGGTCAACAGTCAAGTCCACAGTCTGGTAAGAATGGAGGAAAGGTTCAACACAGACGTGAGCCGAATTCAGCATCCCACTGCAAGCATCACTGACTTAACATGAAGTGTTCAGGAGCACAACCAGGACTTGCTAACATTTACTGCTTATATAAAACTACAAGGTTGGAAAAAAGTCATCACAAAGACCAAAAGAAACTGACTAACTGGCTCCATTAATCAACAACCCAAAGATCAGTATTTGCATATATTTATAAACAGGTAAGTGCATTGGTGTTACAGCGCTCCAGATTGCCTTCTCAAGAGCCCAGATCATAAGCAGCATAACTCTGCTGACACCAACAGCCTACATCAAGAGTAAGTTCAGCTTACTGTGCTTCCTTCTGAATAGGCTTCAGCTTTAAGCATCCTAATTTGGTTGAACAACAGAAGCAAGTATGCTAAGCTATAATTTGCCTAAGGCTCCTAGAAAAGCATTTCAAAAGATAAAGCTTCTCTAGATCAAAGAGCTGAGTAGCTGCTCTTTAAGGTGTCTTCTAAAAGAAACAAAACCTGAAGTGGCCACTTCATTCATATGTCCCAAATGTATCTTACTTTTACCTTCCACACAATATAAATAAAAATTATTCTTCGTTCCACCAGAATGTAACTTGATTTCTTTTAAATCAATCAGGCAAGGTGCTCAGCCATTCATAAGGAGCCCACAAAGTTCATCTGAACTTTGTGAGATTGGATCTTTAAGAAGAAAAATTCCTAAAACTGACTAGCAGACTCCCTACAACAACATGAAAATTTGAAGAGAAAATTGTGCAGAACTAAGCAATTTGACAAGGTTTTTTAAAGGCAATATGACCTGAAGTCACACCTACAGAAATGAAGATTAAGTCTATTACATGAACATTATTGAGACGTGTTTCAAACTACAACACACAGGTGCAACATAAAAGATCAAGGGAATTGCAAGAAATCGTATGTGACAAGCAAGTTTTACAGATGGATCCAAATAACTGCTGCAATTATATTTCAGTACTGAAATTAGAATTCTCTCTCATTACATTAACAGAAGATAAGAATGTACAAGACCAAATACAGCTTACATCACCAAAAAGTCTTCTGCGTTGTAAAGAGAACTGTAACATCCTGCTTAGTTCCCTTATCTGTTTTCACAGAGATTTAACAATCTTACATGCTCTGAACAGTAGATAACATTGATTCAAGTTACATAAATATCCAGAGGTACAACAGATAGGCTCTCCTTAGAGCTGATCAAAAAAATGCAACACATGTTCTATGAAAATCTTCTAATGAAGCAACGTATTCCTTTGTCAGAAAAAAGCATCCCGAAGCTCTCAGTCTGTGTTTGAAACACAGGACACGAAGCTTTGGGGAGGTCGCTGAGTGGCTGAAATGCTCAGTACTTGGGCCTACTGAGGAGCAAAGTAGCAATTCTGTGGGCAATAATACACATGCACAAATTTAGCTGTGAAAATACACAGCTAACAGAACAAGACAAGATGACAGATGCAGTAATCACACAATTGCTTCAAAATAAGAATGGATTGTCTTGCAATTTTTAAGGTCTCAAATATAAATGGGATATCTGGTATTGAATAAGTTGACCGTCAGCTAAAATTGAGCTGTCCTGCTATTTCTATGAGCTTTGATGGAACAACAGAAGGGAAAAAATGAGCTGGTCTTCACATATGGGTGTCACCTACAGCTCTATAATGCAAAATTTCCTTAGAGAATCTTTTTATCTAACCTTTCAGCTCTGAAGAATATCTTCTCTTATTTTCAGAGACGGAATCAAAAATGCTATTTAGAAATAATAGCGCAGCTCCCAGGAAGGAGGCATTGCTTGTAACTGTCATTTAAAATTGCCATTGAAAAGCTGGATAACTGAGATAACACACAACAGAAAGGAGACACACTGGCCTAGTCACTTTGCTCTTTGTTATGATGAATAGAGCAATACAGAAGGTTACATTATGTTTTTTTTCAAATAGAGCTTGGTTTTTTTTTGGGGGGGGGGAGGGTGGCTTGGTTTTGCTTTTCCTCTGGTTCACTCCAAAAGAATATCCCTGTTAGTTCCAGTTAGATGGTGGGTAAAGAGTGAGAGAAATAATCACAGTATGTATCTTGCTTGCCCCCTGCACAACTCAAAGCCAAAAACCAAAACCAAAGCAAAAACCAAAGAAGTATCAGAAGTTGAGTTGACATCATCATATAGAGTAGCAACAAACTGAAAGGATAATAACAGGCAGAAATTGGAACACAGGAAGTTCCATACTAATGTGAGAAAGAACTTCTTAAATGTCATAGTGACAGAGCACTGGAACAGGCTGCCTAGAGAAGTCGTAGAGTCTCCTTCTCTGGAGATACTGAAGGCCTGCCTGGATGCCTACCAGTGCGACCTGCGGGGAACCTGCTTTACCAGAGGGCTTGGACTCAATGATCTCTAGAGGTACAGACTCACCTATAGAGGTTGTTAGGTGAGTAATTTAGCTTAAAAACTAATACACTTGTCATTAAAGCTTAAAGACCAAAAATAAATGGCAGAAACCTCATCCCACTTTTACATCAGATAGGAAGAGAGACAAACTTTGCATTGCTAAATTGTCACTACCAGAAAACCCCATACATACTTACCATCACTGTAATCAATGGGTGCATAAGCTCCTAGGAAAAGGGAAGCTGCAAAACTGCTAACTAAAGAGATCCTCTGAAAGAAAAAAACAGTGAGATAGTGACTCTCATCAGTACTGACTTCAAAGAAAGAAAATAACTTAAGTAATTGGAAGCAGCAGATGTTAATGGATGCTTAATGTTAGGGAGAATACACTTAAAAGCACACCTCCAAGGATTATTCAGTTCTATATTCCTGCTGAAGCAACATGGCAGACATCAGTTTAAAGGTAACCCTATGATAAAAGCTGTTAATAGTTTTGCATTCTGAAACATGCAAAATACACTGAGTATATTAGCATATCTATGTTATCATGAATTAATTCACAACTGAGGTATGTTCTAGATCTCACTTCAAGGAAAAACGTAAGAAAAAAACAACTGGATGATCGGGGGAACAGCCACACACACTGGTCAACCTGGAGTGCAGGTCTGCAAGGCAAGGCTTTGACAACACCTCCATCTGAACTCTTACCATGCCAGCAGAGATGACAGATCTCCTAGGATTTACTTCCAGGAATTGGTAATCTGAACTAAATCAGCATCCGCTGCTCTCCCTCAGGTTATGTTCCAACAGCACATTAGATGCTGCAGGGCTTCTAGCACCAGCTCTAAAATGCCCTGGTCACATAACACAAAACACTGATGCAACATGAACTCACCTCCATTTCAAGTCTGCTAGAGGAACTACGAAGTTAATCAGCTACTGCTGAGCTTTCGGTAGGATCAAGTATTATCTGCCCCCAGAAACTGGCATAAAAGCTAACAAATTCCTTATTGTGCTCTCTAATTCAAAAGAGTTACAATTGTCACCCAACATCTAATCAGAATCAAATCTCTATGAGCCAGCAGTGACAAGGTTTTGTTATTAATGACCATGAAACCACTGCTTCGCATGGCATTCAGAGTTGTACTATAGCCAGAGTTCAAAAATGTACTTATAATGGCCAGGAAACTTAATGATGCACTTGCTCTTCATGCATCTCTCCCCAGGAATATATCACATTGTGCTTAGATAACAAAGGCCTACCTTCTGCGGTGCCCCAATGGGCACAAGCTGCCTGAAATGGAAGGAAAAGGATGAAGTTAAACTCTGAATCAGCTAGTTTATCAAGCTGACCTAGAGGAGGAAAGGTATCCACCTTCCACATGCTGCTGAAACTATCAAGCTGCTAAGTGTTTCTTGTGGGTTCCTAAGAGCACAGACATTTGTGCTACAACATAGCTTCTTGCACATCCTTTGCTGCCAAAAAGGTGGCATCAGTGCCACCAGCCTTTTGTCTTAGCTTAGTCTGAGCAGTTCTAGTTCCCAGGAACTCACCCCCCACCCTGCCCCTGCCATTAATGCATCTTTCTCCAAACTTATTCTTAAGCTTACCATGAACTTGCATTAGTCCCGTTTCATTCCAGCCTTTACCAGCATAAAAAATTATATAATGAAACAAAAAGAAAAAAAAAAAATAGGCAGCAAAATTTGCAATTCACTTCCCCACAAAATTAAATATTTCATGCAGGAATAAGATTTTTAAAAATTATGATCAATGCTAACAAGAACTGCAGTAATGTAAAAGTACAAGCAGTCTGACTTTATAGGTCAAGATGTATGGCATTCTCAACTCACAGGACAGGAACTTCTCCCTTGTTTATATCACATCTGCATGGAAGTTTCACCTTGTTTCAAACCATTTTAGTCACAGCTAGATGCAGACTTAACAAATTGAGGTGAAAGAATTTATACAGATTTCTAAAAATTAAAAAAAATAATAAAAAATAAAAAAAATCAGGAGGAAACTAAACAATGTGTTTCATTCGTAATAACAACCAAAGTTGTTTCCTGCGAGGGAAAAATTTCTGCAAACATCTAGAATTGACTGCAGTTGGTTCCTATGCATATCTGCATGGCTGCCAGCTTTGTATGGCAGAACAACCACACTTCTGTATGCATACAGCCAGTTGTCACTATTAACATTTCATCTGTGTGCTTAGGTGCCCACTCATATTTGAACTGTTACATATACCAGCCTATTGGCATTCAAATAAAAGCCTGTAATAAAACTTACTCCACAAAAGCTAGGATCCAATGGAGCCCACTGTGTTACACCAGCATTCAGGAATTGATGCCCAATTTGTGTTTATCTAATGACTAACAAATCCACAAAAAGTAAAACAAAGAAAAAGTCACAGAATTTTATCTTACAGCAAGCACAAAAGTCAAAATACTTTTAGGGGAGAAAAAAAAAAAAGGTGACATCACAAAATTCCACTTAAAAAGATTTTCAACTGTGATTTCCAATAAGTACAAGTTGAAGTTGAGCCAACCTCAGTTTGCGCGTAGACCTCAGGATTCTGGTTGTAAATCTTTGCTATCTGGTTTCCTGTAAAACGCTGAGAAAGAAATGCAAATGCTTAGAAACACAAACCTTAAATGGAGTCAATAATCATTAACTCTGTGTAATGAGTTCAGTACATTGCACTTTGGATATTTAATTTGTCTGATGCATGATGAAAGTCAGTGCACAGCAGGCAATCTGCACTAAACAGGCTATAACACATGGTCTCATTATGAGAATTTTGCTCACCTTTAAAAAAAATCTGAGAAAAAAAAACATTACTATACATAATTTACATTTCAGAAATGACGGTTCAGTGGAATGAATCACTCTTATTACATGCTCAGGAACTAACGCTATTGAAATGCTGCCTTCACCTTCTTAAAAAGGTTTAGGCTATCCAACCTGCGTGCCTCTCTGTGAGGAAGGTAAGTGGGAACAGGCAGGAAGTTTTATACTTAAAGAAGCAACATCAGTACAAGATATTAACAGTTTTGAGAAGAACTATTTTTCCTTCATATATTATATCAAATAACTAAAAACCCCATAATACTGATCTTCCAAAACCTTAACCTTTAGTAAGTTAAAAATAAACCGTTAGTAGTATATAAAATCTGATTTCAAACACCAGCTATAAACCTTTCATGATTCAAAACCAGAATGAGAATTCTGGGAGGTTAGAGCCTTACTTTACTGAACTAACAGCGAGAGCAGACAGGTGCAAAGATGCCTGCAGGGCAGCCCCACTCCCACTCCATAACTCTTTGTCGTGGTTGTAAGAGAGGGAAGTGCTGGGAAGATGAGATGAGTGACAGAGCACTCCCTGATAGAGTCCCAAACTTCTGAAGCTCACTTTTCTGAGGTTAACACAGCTGCTTGTTAGCCTTCATGGAACATCAAAAGGGCAATCTAAATTACAGAAGTAGCCTAGAGCAGTGATCCCAAAACACTGAGTCATTAACCCCAAGTAAATCTGTAACACAAAGTGAATTGTGATCCCAATGGAAACCTGGCTGCACAGGAGCTCCCAGCAGAGAGCTGGACCCTGAGACTGTAAGTATGGACACTGAACACCACATCTGGGGAACTACAGGCCAAGAGCAACAGCTTAATCCAACTTACTCCTGCACTGCTTCCTGAAGTAAAATTTCCAGTGTTTTGCCTAATTTTAGTTGAGAATTTCCACAGAATAGGATTTCCACGTCTTTCTTCGTGAGCTTACTGCAAAGCATGATATCACTGGAGTTTCTTTAGAAACACTGAATAAAACTGCCTCTTTTATAATTAACGGCTGATCATTATCTGCTGTGATGTGACAGAGTTGGTTTTGGTCACAAGACTCTGCTGAGGACTTTCTTGTCATGCTTCTTACCTCATAGGCTCGAGAACCAGTGATATTTGCTAAGTGCTGTGCTCCTCCCACAGCATTCTCCAGAGCGCTGCACTGCGAAGCTGTGCTAGAATCCATCCAGATGGGGCTGTTACTGACAGCAAAACAAGCCTGGAACAAACAGTATTCTTTAAGAATAACACCTCATCTCTAAGAAGTCCCTACTGAAACAATAACAACACAGCAGACAGAGGAGTCAGCTCACAGGTCGGTTCTCTGATGTCCTCTCAGTAACTAAAGGAAAACAGTATTGGTCAGTATGTTGGCCAGGGGTGGAAAGCCTAACCTAAATGTCACACCTGAGGGAAGCAGCAGGCTTTATCTGCTGGTACATCACACATACCCTGCAGCTGAACGTACTGCAGCAACATATCAGTACATTCCTTTGGAGGCCAAAGCCCCAGGATGTTTTATACAAGCTCAGACTCACTTTGACAAGCTTCTTCCCTCAACACTTAGATGATCTTTCTAGAGCTCTTCTAATAGATTTCTCTTCACTGACTGGCATAATAGTTAAGCAAAACAATGAGGCTTACCACATCACCAGATAGCATTTTCATTCCCTTTCCAAGATTTCTGCATGAGGTATCTCCAAAATTAATCATTTAATAGATCAGCTTATACAAATGCCTCTCCTTCAGTATTCGACTGTTGTTACTGATCTGAGATTCATAGAATACCCCAAGTTGAAAGAATCTCACATGGGTCATTGAGTCCACCTCCCAGCTCCACACAGACCAAGCAAAATCCAAACCCTGTATCTGAGAGCAGCATCCAAAGGCTCCGTGAGCTCTGGCAGCTCAAGGCTGTGCCCACTGCTCTGAGCGAAGAACATTTTCCTGACACAAGCCCTTGCCACTCATGGCAGGCTGTGTTAGGCCTGATTCACCCCAGGACACGGCTGCATATTGAACTACAGAAAGGACTTCAAAAGGAAAGCTGTTTTCTCCCTATTTTTCAAATACTAATTTGTCAAGTCTACGTGCAAAACATATCACGTGCATATCAAAGTATTTGGTAGGAGATTCTGTCCACTTTATCATTTCAGAGCTAAGTGTAAATTTTTATTTTTTTTAATATTTTCTAATGAAAACTCAAGCACTGCGGGGAAACTCTGGTGCAATAATATTCTTCACCATTTTTTCTTTTAATACGGATTAAAAAACCTACAATATTTACAGGTTGTTTACAGAAATGTTATGTTTAAAGAACAAACACGTTCTAGTGCTGACATTAAAAGATTCTGGGATGCCTACTGGCACCAATAAGCTTTTAAAACAGTATATACTTTCACTGAAGAGAACAGGAAATGCCAGGAGCTCTGGAGCTGAAGGAATAACCAGTACATTTCACTTTACACTGCAGGAAAATGCAACCAGAGAAAACACTTGCAAGCAAAAAAAAAAAAAAAAAAAAAAAAGCAAAGCATGAAGACCAGGAAAAGGCCAGTGTGGCTCTCCTTTCAAAGTTCTTGTGTGAACATTACCTTCAGTGACTGATGTAAAGGCAGCTCGGGTGATGCATTCTTTAAGATTTGGATGCTTCCTTTCTTCCAATATACACTTCCGTGTTGCTGTAAGAAGTGCAAAAATACAAGTTGGAGATAGTCCCCCAGGATATGAACTTTGCAGCTTGATCTGAACTTGAAGCTCTTAGGGACAGAGAACTCTCACCAAACTACAAGAAAGTAAATGCACCTTCTCAAATCAAGTGCCTCATATTAAAGGTCTATTTGAGACTGAGCAAACCAGAAAACATAGGAGTTGAGACAAATATGACCTTAAACTACAGCAACTTTTAGTGGAAGCTGTTATCACACTACTAACCCATGCCATTAGCTGTTTTTTTGAGGGCTCTTCCAGCTGCAGCCAGAGCTGCACAGACAATTTGTTCCTGGCTCTACCTGCACAGACCCCAGGTCCCACAGTCACGTGCCCATCCCAGCCACTGCTAACCAACTGCATAATACTGAATAAGCTGCTTAACCTCCAACTCTCAGAAGCCTTTCTAATGTCAGACAACTCTAGCTGTTCATATTTAGATCACCCAAAGCAAACTATAAGGCACCATTCAGTTTTCCACTAATGATGAGCCTCCCAGGCCCACAATTCAGACCCACGTTATGATCCAGATGGTATCAACGTTTCTGTTCCAGTTCTGCTGACAACTGAGACCAAAACCTGGCACGCTGGTACGCCTCTGCTATCTGATTGGCAATACAGAGACAAGATTCTTAAGAGAAAAGGAAGAATGACAATGTGAGTTGGAAAGTGGCAGTTAAAAGAAATCTACTCTACCTGAAAGAATCTGAATGTAGCAACCCCAAGTCATAGAAGCATAGAATGGTTTTAATTTGAAGAAAGAAGTTGAAGCAAAGGGAACATTGGCAGTTTGGAAAACCAATTCCTACTTCTGCTTGAGAGAGCTGCACTTTCCTTCCAGTCTCTAACTTCTATTCCACTAAGGAATTCCTAACAAAGCCTTGATGCAGGTTATTATTTTCAGACACTTTGTTCCAGCAAATAATACGTGGAGATCAAAGCAACAATTTAGATTAATTAGCCCCAGATCTACTTAATGAATAACCTAGCTCTCATGTGTCAGAATTAGCTATGACTTTGCTGGTTTCCTCACTTTGAATACAATTTTAAAAACTGTGAAAGGTGCAAAAGCTTCCTTGTTTCACTACCAAAGTATTAGGAGACAAGCAAATTAACTAATTATCAGGATGGGTTTATAAATCTGAAAAAAATAAACTAAAAATGGCAGAACAAATCATGGCAAAGGCAGAATATTCGTCCTCAATGCATCAAAGGCAAATCTCTGTCCTAATCAATAAAAACCGTGCTCAACAAGACTTTACTATGCCTTCAGCAACCTCAGCTAATCATTTTTTCTATCCTGTTTCTACAAGCACCTAGATATGCACAAAGTTATCCCAGCCACTTCAGATCGGCGTACATAATTTAAACAATAGGAAGCCAGCTATTTATGCACTGTACAGTGCACTTGTTTAGATCAGTAAGTCTCACCCTCCACTCCTATTACCTTCTATAGATTGCTCCATATGTTTCAGGTTTTAGGCTCCCTTGAGTAACACATCCTTTAATGGCTGCTTAATATGGAAGATTTGATATTACTTGATGTCTTTAAGATCTACCATAATACGGAATGGTTTAAAACTGAGACAGGGGAGGTTTAGGTTGGATATTAGGAGGAAGTTTTTCACACAGAGGGTGGTGAGGCACTGGAACAGGTTGCCCAAGGAGGCTGTGGATGCCCCATCCCTGCAGGCATTCAAGGCCAGGCTGGATGTGGCTCTGGGCAGCCTGGGCTGCTGGTTGGTGACCCTGCACACAGCAGGGGGGTGAAAGTATTTGTGGTCCTTTTCAAACCAGGCCATTCTGTGATCCTATGATATAACTATTAAAAGGAAATATATGATTAGATAGTATGCCTTCATTAGAGTTTACGTTAAGAGTGATTTCTCTTTTTATGAACTAACCTGGCCAGCACCAGACAAAGCTCTGACTTGAGAGAAGTTAAATCCTGAAGACTTCATCTTTTCCAAAATCACATCCAGAGCCTACAAGAACAAACAGAACCAAGAACGACAGTAACGAGATACCAAATTATGCATACTCACAGGCCTTGGGATTAAAGAGTAAACTCATGTCATCACTAGTAAGAGTTCATTGGCAGGTAATGAAAAATTAGCTAATGACAAATTAGCTAATGACTATGGATTTCAAGAAGCCGCATACATTAATTTACTAAGTAAGAGTCCATAAAAGGAAAGTTGAATCACAAAGAGGAAAAAAAAATATTTAAACTAGCTGAATCACAAAGAACCATTCTTTGAAATCTAAATAAAAGGAAGATTTAATAAATTCCAATTCATTTAAAAGCAACTATTAAGAGAGCCAGATACAAAACACCATTAACTTTTTCCGTTCTTACTTTTGGAAATCTATGACATTTTTCATGGTGTGCAACCTACAAGTCATCCTACAGGATGCTAAAAGGCAACCTCATTATCACCAACTCCAGCATCTGCTGAAAGTACATTTTTGCACTGAAGTACCTAGGTTACTTTTGCTCTTTTTCTATTTTACTAAAATTTAAAACCAAAAAATCAATCTGTCTTTATTTAAGCTAATTCAGATCTGCATTTCTCAGACTTTCTTGATAGATGGACCACTATAATGCTACAAAATTTCCCAAGAAACCATTATCATATACTAATTTAATAAATAAACTGTTTATTATGTTTCTACAGACCACCTGCAACCAATTTACCAAATCTTCTTGTATTATCAGACAGAACTGCTGTTGATCACCAACTGGGAATTCTGTGACCTTTTAAATGTCTTTAACTATTCAAATCACAACAGCACCATGCGAGAGCAAGAGCTGCAGAAACTGCTTTCAAAACAGCAGACAATGTTATCTGTATTTCAAAATAAATGCCAGTCAAGATGACTGGGAATTACTAAATAAATTGCTCTTCAACCACTTGCCATTTGAGACACAAATCAGTTAGCAAAGTTCATTCTAAAAAGACAGTGCAACCTGGATGCTGCACAACCACAGTAAAGCTAGGCAAAGCTTCTTATAACAGAAAGGAAGCTGAACCACATACTACAAATACTCCCAGAAGGCTGACATAACAGCTCATCCATACCTTGACCCACATTAGCACAGGAGAAGTGACTGTCAGTCGGTCACTGTGAACGTGGGCTCCACCTTGAGTCCTAAAAATGGAAAAATAGTATTTTATTCATAAAGTCAGTACATTTTTCCCCATCAAGCAAAGTTTTTCAAGTATTTTAATGACTAAAGTGAGCTTGCAGTGTTGTTTGGGGTTTTTATTTTTTTTGTTAGGAGCAAAGAAAAGATCAGAGTTTGAAAGCTGAAAAAGGCCAGCTCTTAGGAAACAGCATTAGAGAGAGACCCAATGCTAAAGCAAATAAATTGCAAGGAAGGACTTTGGTCCTGGTGTAAGATCTGTGATAGACTCTAGTGCTGATGCTGCTCATGGGCTCCACACAAGTAACAGTTATCTTTAAGTTTCCTAACTGTCACCATTAGTGACTTAAATCTAGTAGATGAAACTCAGTTTTTTGCTGTAAGCAAATGTACTTTACTGACACTTATGACCATAGCGGATGGAATTTGTAAATTCTCATCTATAAATCAGAATTTATACATTCTAATGTGCCATTGGGAGCCACTGAATCTGTCTTCAAAAGTGTTTTATAAGTTCCTCTCATGCAATTTATTCACTGTTATCACAGCATTCCATCCTGACACAGAGGCGGTGCTTCTGTGTCCAAAAAGAAACAGCCACCTGTTAACAGCAAAAGTCCCAGATGAGAAAATATACATTGGTTAGTTTATACCTTATGCCTTCGTGTGAGAGGGTCTTTTTATTTCCTCTTTCTCCTCTGGGGAATTCTTGCCATACTTACATATCAAGCAAGGTAAGGGCACAAACTTCACTTGTGAAGTACAAAACACAAATGCAGCATAACTGCTTCCATACCTCTACACATACCAACGAGAGCAAAGCAGGCAACAGACCTGTCTCAATAGTCAAAGTTCTAAACAAGATTATCCAAGTAAAATACAAAAAAAAAAACTTACCTAAATTCTGGAAGGTCTTTATCAAAATTAACATTATCCTCATAAATGACTCTCAGATGTTCATCAATAGCAATGACTTTCAGCTAGAAGAAATAAAACAGGATGTTAACAAAAACCGCCCAGCAACATAATTAGATAGCACTGGTAATTCATTTATAGTAACTCAATTCTCACAGATAAAAAGGGAAAGAAGATCACCCCAATCCATACAAATGACTATAAGTACGGACACAATTTTACATGAAACAAGTCATTGTGTGAATTTACAGCATGTCAGTTACCCAGCAATGTGTAAATGCTTGCATTTTCCCCTACACTTTCTCTCTCTCTTTAATTACACTAGAATAAGATGCTAGCTAAAAGAAAAAACATTAAATGAGATACACCATTCCCAGCTTGCACCACAGTAACCAATCCATCCAAGGAACACAGTATCTTAGGTTAAACACGTCGTATTTTCTGTGTGTTTTTCTTAATAGCCTCATCTTCAGTGATAGAGCTGGAGCACGTCCCCTATGAAGACACGATGGGGGAGCTGGGCTTGTTCAGCCTGGAGGCTGCGGGGTGACCTCACTGCAGCCTTTCAGTACCTAAAAGGAGCCTATAAGCAGGAGTGGAGTCAACTCCTCAAAAGGGCAGGTAACTGCAAGACAAGGGGAAATGCTTTTAAGTTGAAGGAGGGAAAATTTAGGTTGGATATCAGGGAGATCTTTACTGTGAGAGCAGGGAGGTGCTGGAGCAGGCTGTCCAGAAAGGAGGATAAGGATGCCCCATCCCTGGAAGTGTTCAAGGCCAGGTTGGATGGGGCCCTGGGATAGCGTTAAATATGTTGGTTGGTGACCCTCCCTCTGTTTGGGGGGTTAGAGATTCATAATCCTTGAGGTCCCTTCTAACCCAAGCCATTCTGTGATCCCTTGATTCTGCAATATTATCCAAGAACTTTGCAGACCTTTAGAACACTTTGAGGATCTTCCCTCAACCCCTACACAGGGAGTAAGCTGATCTCCACCTGACAAAGCTCAGAAGACATTACACAGCTGCACACTTAGCTTCTGCAGCCAATGGAAAGCAACATCCCAATCTCAAGTCCATCAGGCTGAGCTTTCTTGCAAGCACTGGCTAGGAGGTACCGCAGACTTTCCCACTCTAGCTTTTGTCAAGTTTAACTAGTGATGAAGAAAAACATTAACAGCCTCAAATAAAAAGCAAGAGTGTAGTTCATGTCCTGCATTTTAACAAAGGAAAGAACGCAAGCTGCTGCTAAACGAACAGACTGAAAAAAAGTACAAAGATCGTCATCTCAAAGAGCTGTATTCAAGTAACAGAGCCATCGCATTTGGGGGTGGGTTATTTAATTTTAGCCATATTAATGTAGGGCCTCATTTATGCACTACCACCACTCATTACCAAGTTGGTGCACTGTGCTAGCTTTAACATGGCTCTGACCAGCTGCAGCTTAATTGGCTTTCTGCTTGCTATGTTCTCCCTTAAAAATAATGAACTTAATACGAGTAACCTGCATATGCCTCTTCAGCACAGCCATTATGAAGTGACTTATTTGCATACCTGCTAGTTAAACAAATCTGGGCAGTGTGGTTGACACCAGACTATGCTGACAATTCCAAAACTGAGGAATTCCAGAATTCCCAGCAATTGTAAAACCCTCAGCATTAAAGCGCATAGTTCTACCAACGCTGATTTGGCCACCTGGACCAAAGGACAAGAGGCAGAGGAATGCAGCCCGGTTCGGACGTGCAAACAGACAAACAGCAGCAGCACATCGCTAGAAGAGGTGGCCCAACAACTTTACGCAGGCAGATGGAGGCGTGCAGAAGGCTGGGCGGATATACAGAAGCCTGTGCTCTACGGCAGCCAGCAAGAGGCAGTGTTCCCGACTCGGGAAGAGGAAGCGCCGAATTCCCGGGGAGCAGCACGGCACGGCCCGTTAAGCGCGAGCAGCCGGCTCCAGCCCTCAGGAAGCAACGGCGGAGCCGCGTAAGGAAGGAGGGAAGGGAAGAAGGAAACCTGCGGTACCTGCTGCGTGCTGAAATCCCATCCCAAGAAGCAGGGGGCGGCCATGTCGAACCCCGCCGGGCAGGGAAGCGGCGGCCTTAAGCCCGGCCTTCCCCCGGAACGGAGCTCTGCACCGCAGCGGCTGCTTAAAGGTGAACCCGAGTTAATGAGTGTTCGGCTGAGGCTGGGCGAGCAGCGTCAGGTTCTGTGAGTCTGCAATCAGGGAAGGTCCAGCTGGACAAAGCTGAAGCACCGATCTGTCTGAAGGCGAAGGCGTGTCGAATGGTCACCCGGTTTGTAGTAACGCGTCTTTAAATCACAGGATTGCAGCGGTTGGTGCTGCTGAGATTCCTCTGTCCACAAAGAGATCGGGCTGGGTGGATCTTACTGCATGTTTCCTATAAATAAGGGCAGATATGGAATTGGAAGGCTTGAAACGCTACTGTTTTCAATGTACAGTTGCTCACAAAAAAATAAATAAAAATAAAAAATTGAAGTCACAGAATCACACACAGGCCTGTGTTGAAAAGGACCGCAGTGATCATCTCGTTTCCACCCTCCTGCTATGTGCAGGGCCACCAACCACCAGACCAGGATGCCCAGGAAGTCAGCCCTAAAGAAAGCCACAGGAATGATGAATCGCTTCGGAAAGAGACAGCTGTGCAACTTTCAAAAGGTGTTAGTACTGAAAAAGGAAGCTTTTTCAGGAAAAGTACTGAAAAAGGATTAATAAATTATATAAAGCAGTCTTACATCGTGAGAATGTCAGAATCAATTCCGTCCTTCAGCAATGAGATCGTCCAGTGGTCAGACTGCTGTGTGAAATGCTTGGCTTTAAACAGCACAGAAAAGTTATAGGATTGGGATAACAGCCCTAGTGTTATCAGATCTTAAATTATTGTGGAAGAATGCATAAGGATTCCACAAGGACAGAATGGGAAAGTTAATTATGCTACTTTTACTGTTCAGGTCTTTCTAATGAAAATCAGGATGTTCTCAGAACCTCATTCTGTCTTTCTTACACCTCATCCCAACAGGTCAGCATTCTCCCAGATTTAATTGCTTCTGTATGGAAAATTGACATTGCAGCTTTTCTTTCTGTGTTAAGGCTTATGCTGGCGGTCATTGCCATAACCTCTAAAATCGTTTCTTGAAAGCAAACAAGGATTAGAGCTGTGTTGTTATCAGTGAAGTTGCATTCATGTGCCACTGATGTTTTGGTACTGACGAGTCCAAAATTTCCAGAGAGCATGGGCAAAATGTCACCATCACAGATTAACAGTTTGAGGCACAGCAAAGATTAATCACTCACAGCACGTATATACAGTAAAGGGAAAAGTGGGCTTTTTCCCCTTTTCCTATCAACCAGCTTCTGCAGTTTTGCACAGACCTGCTGTAACAAAGGAGCAATACTGCTATGCTTTAGGCCTCTAGCTGTTCTGGTAAATTTTAACTACTCAGCTAACTAATGATATTGATTTCCCCCCCAACCTAACTACTGTGCTTCAGTATCATCCCGTCATCTGAAAGGTGCCAAAAAACTAGGGAACAGTGAGACCAGACCTTTGTTTGATACTAATTAGCATTACCATACTGACTGTAGTCCTGATGGATGCGGGCTACATAATTGAATGGTAGGTGAAAGTATTTACACCTTCATAGGAGAAGTCCACAAGCTGCTTCAACGCTACCCATCCTTTTGCTTCCAGCAGATTTGGGGCCTCTACCTACTTAAGTAGCTAGACAGCCAAATATTCTCCATCCCAAACAAGTACTTCATATTGGTACATCAGCAAAGGTTGGCTCAGCACAAACAAGACAGCATTACACGTAGTGCATGCACACAGCTGATATCCCTACAACTAAGGGAATCCATGTTAGACCTAGCATTGTTAGGCTTGGTGGCACAACTGTGCTTTTTCCCATAAGAAATCTTGTGGGTCTTTAATTAACCTCAGAAACATCAAAGTGTGCTACGTTGGGTCAGATGAATTTCTGCCTATTTGCCAGCCAGTCTCACAGTCATATGCAATGCTGCTAATTAAGTGGGAGAATGTTTACAGTTCTATGTAACGTAACAGTACTCCACCTTAAGGAAAAAAAAAAACACCTCAGTGTGAGCACTAGAGCTGCCTTTTGGAAAGATACCTGAACAACAATAATTCTCTAAAGGTCATCCCTTTTTCTACTTAGCACCACCAGTATTCTGTTATCAGAATATTCAGCAATGTTCAACCAAGTGCTGATAAGTCAAAATACCACAGTATCATAAATTAAAATACAAAGTTGCTGTTCTTTGTAATGAGATGAACCTGTAACATCAAAAAAGTTTTCCCTTCTGTAAATATGCACTTATCCACCAAAGTACTTTATGCTAACAATTGTGTTTATCCATACCTCCAGACACTGTAGAGAACCTCAGCTTTCACCCTGCAAGAATAAATACTTATTGTTTAAAAGTAATGTATCAGGACTGTTGTTATCCACTAATTTTAGTGATTGCACTGTGAATGAGCAAAAGTTTATAAGACAAAGATCCAGCAGAAGCCCCTTGCACGAGTTCCACTACAGGAAGCCCAAACCAGTTGTTACATTGGGACTGAAGACATACCTTATTTAGGTGTAGAAATTATCTGCAGTCTCATTGCAGGATTTAGTTCTTGGCATGTGTATACTCAAATTCCCAGGTGTTGGACTGCACTAACTAACTAAGGCCCGTTAAGAGGCCACCCCTCATGAAGAACTGGCACAGGGTTTCAGATAATAGCCTATGAAAGCACAGGAACAGTGGGTACTTGCAAAGAATTTAAATGATGGCTTCGCTGCCCAATCTGTTGGTTATACTGTCAGTTTCATGTGTATTGGTCAGGTCAGAGCCTGCACTAAATCATGTACATAAAATCCTCCAATTTCATTTCTACTAATTTCAATAGAAATCTATTGAAACCTCTCCACTTCAGTAGGCGCTGAATCAGGCACTGTGGAATTGCTTCTGGTTTTATATACTCTAGTTTTACAGATGTCATTTCACTGACTTCAGTTATGTTACTAGTGATTATGAAGTGCAGAACAAATTCCTCATGAGATCCCTGCATGGAAGTGAAGGATGTTTCTGACTGGCAAATCATTTTTTTAGGACACTTCCCTCCTCTGTACAGATTTCAAGTCCACATTCACTCCACAGTAGTGGTAGCACTCAACCATCCTCTTTGGAGGACTATGTTAACCACAGTCATTTGCGAGGCTTATTCAATCTTACCCACCTGGCAGATTCCCTTCAAGAGGAATACTGAAGTGGCTTGTGTCCTAAAGCCCAAAAGCAAGATGTTGTCATCCTGATAAAACTTTTCATTAACAACAGATTAACCAGTTCTTTCGTGCTGTATCTGATTCTTATCACTCTTACAGATAAGTACATTTTATTGATTAAAAACAATCAAGGGTAAATTAATTCCTACTCAAACAATGCCTTAAGTGGAAAAAAAATAAGAGCCAAGCCTCGCACTTTTTAGCACTATCCAGCAAGAAGGAAAAATTATTTTACAATCAAGAAAAAATCAAATTAATGTAGTTTACAAGTGGGAAAAAAAATCAAGGCAGAAAATTTATATAGCTTATCCAATCATTTTTAGATCTTATTTGAACTTGGAATGTCTCCTTGAGTTCCTCCATGCAAGTGTTTTTTGTCTGTTGCAAGAACAAATAAATGTAAGTGGCTGGAGCCATTGTAACTCCATGGGCAGGAAACACTGAGAAACAGCTCATATAGAAAATATACTTACAGAGCAGTACCATAAAGATGAGCTCTGTTTATCAGTAACTGGAATTTAAGACATTCAAAAATCAAGGAAACTGCAGTGAATTTCCAAAATCCTCTGAAGGCCTATTTATGAAGGCAATTTACTTCCCTCTCGTCCACTTCTCATGGACAGTTTTATAATGTTAATATCATAGAATGATAAAATCATATGAGTTGGAAGGAAGCCTTAAAGACCATATGGTCCAATTCCCCTGCAGCGAACAAGGACACCCACAGCAGCATAAGGTGCTCAGAGCCCCATCCAGCCTGACCTTGGCTACCTCCAAGACTAAAACTACCGTTTTGTTTGTCATTCTGATTTAAGAAACCCTGTAACCAAGAAGAAAGGGAAACAGGAAGGAAAGATGGCAGGGTTCATTTGTTTACAATGTCTAAAATGTAAATAACTTCACTTTCTTCTTTGACTTGCCTCTGCACACTGTCATTCACAAGAGGGCATCTGAGGAGTTCTTAGTGGGCAACAACCACAAAATGAACAGCAAATCCTGACCTTACGTTTGGATGCTGACTGTTCAAACAGAGAGAGAGAGATTCCAGTCCTACTCATGCAGACAACCAACAGAGTAAAGACAGCTAACAGTGCAAAGCTTGGCATTTTAAATTACTTTCCATAGCAGTTAACGTTCCAAAGGAAAGTTAATTAATCCTCAGCACCAACAGAGTGAAGACAGAAGAACAGAGGTTTTTAAATGCTGCTTATGCCGGGCACAAAAAAAAATACCCCACATGCAGGACATCTGCTGCATTTAACCCCTCACCATCAGTGCAGTTTAATTTAATGTAGGTGAATCCATCTGAGCCAGGCTCTGATTCACTTGATCGAGCTGTAGGAGTCCCTGTTCGCTGCAGGGGAGTTGGACCAGATAACCTTTAAAGGTCTCTTTCAACTCAAATGATTCTGTGATTCTATGAATCCAGTGATTTTGACCCTACTGCCTTTATCACCCACAAAAAGCAACCAAAAACCAAAACCCACAGTGATTGTGCAAAGGAATGGCATACACCAAGGTTTCAACACATGCAAAACCAGATACGAGAAGCAAAAGGTCAGCAGATAAAAGAAACATCTCGAGATCATTCTGAAATCTTGCACCATGGGCTTCTTCATGCCACTCTCATGGATGTGCAGAGAACACCAAAAAATGATCTTGCATCATTAGAGAGTGCTGTGCTCTGACTACTTAACCAGTCCCTAACTGCAGTTTGCCTGAAAGCTGTGCTCTGAGTAACAGAAAGATATGCGCTCTTGTAAAAAACCTCATTAAAAAGTAAATGATTACTATTGATTCTGCTAATATTGTCTGGAGCACCAATAAGGGCAGCTACCCTGTTTCCATGTTTCTTATTTGTTACTAAATTTTCTAACAATCTAATAGTTTCCAACAATTCAAACTATGTGTAAGTAATACATATATGTCTATAGAAAGCTACAGAAGGGGGATTATCATAGAATTACAGAATCACAGAATGGCCTGGTTTGAAAAGGACCACAGTGCTCATCCAGTTCCAACCCCCACTGTGTGCAGGGTCACCAACCAGCAGACCAGGCTGCCCAGAGCCACATCCAGCCTGGCCTTGAATGCCTGCAGGGATGGGGCATCCACAGCCTCCTTGGGCAACCTGTGCCAGTGCCTCACCGCCCTCTGTGTGAAAAACTTCCTCCTAAAATAAAAAACCTAATAAAACCTAAACCTCCCCTGTCTTAGTTTAAAACCATTCCCCATTGTCCTATCATTATCCACCCTCGTAATCATCTAGATTAAATCTAGATATCTGTATTCTGTCTTTGTACCCCTCACAAACAGGCCACGTGCCTGTAATTCCCCACATGAGCAATGTGAATAACCATATATGCCTCCAGCCCCAGGTGTGCCATAAAACCCAGGGCTGCAGGAATTCCATTCAGTCATAGTTAACTGTTCTGAGCATTTTCTTTTAATTATCTTTAAATCAACAGTGATTCCTGCAAGATCCTTCAAACATTTTTAGAATAAAAAATGATTTACTACTTACAAATTAATTAGTATGTGATAAAATTAGTTGCATCTTTTTAAATGAGATTTTGCAACCAAGGTCAAGGGCAGTACGCATCTACGTCAAGTTCTGAAAACCATTGCTTTTGGACTGTAATATACTCACAAATTTATTTTGCCCCAAAGAAATGAAAAATTGCTTCCATTGTGTGATGGATGAACAGACTTAAGAGAAAATATAGCAATTCAGACGTCAGTGGATAATGAAATTAAAATCACTCATAGATGATTTTAAGAGTTTGTTCAATTAAAGACAAGGCTATTTTTTTATTAATTTTCTTTCAGAAACCTAATCATGACACTGAGTTTTCAGTACTGTTAAGAAATGCACGTAGCAATGCTAAAAAGCGGCTTGGCTGCTCGTATTGCTCAGAAACACGCAAAGGAAATTTGGGCCTCTGATGTTTTAGGACTAGGGCGAGCCTACAGTCACATCACTCCAATAGTGCCATCTGCTGCATATTTTAAAAGCACACAGCGGTCTGCAGATCTGAGTACCTCCATTTAAAGAGTGAGTGATGACTGGCTTAAACACAAATCATCATTTCCATTTTGTACGTATCAAAGACAGATTATTTTTTTTTCCTTTTACCTAAACAGGCTGGAGTACAAAGGAAGGTGTTCCACTGCAGTATAAGAACAGAAGCCTCAGGTAAGCAATTTGCAAGCTCATGTCAGTGGTGTAACAAAAATTAGTTGCATCAGCTCACTATACATCAAAATCACAACCCCATTTTCTCTGTGATCCCCAGGATATTGGATCTGCACCTCATTTTATGAATCATATCCTGACTGCAACTTATTCACAAACCACACGTATGTATGTGTATATACACGCCTTGACAGCAAGCAAAGTAAGCAGTGCCAAATGCATGCATGCACACAAACACACTCCACCTGAGGCAGAATCAGGATGCCATGCTCACAGCCGTTCCCTGTAAAGGAAACAAACTGCAGTGTGTAAGGGACGGGCTGAGCAACACAAAAGCTAATCCTGTTCCTGGTTCCCCTGACCTGTTGTACCACCTGCACTCACTCTATTTCACTGGGCAGCTCTTTTCTTTCGTTCTGTTTTTGTTATTTACCCATGCAACTGTCTGGAAAGAGGCTGCCTTGTATAGCGCACGTGCAACTGAGCGTGATGGCCTTCCATGAGCCTGAGGCAATGCTACAGCACGATCAAAAATCATAACACTTTTTGCTCAGATAAAAACTCCTACTTTCAATGCCCTTCTAATGAGAAGACATGGACATCTTTTAAGACAGAGTGTACATTCACGTTAAGGGATGGGATCACGGTAATTCTGCCTGCAGCACACGCTCAGGGTGTACAAGTCACTTTCTCAGGAGGTCAGAGAGCCACACACTGTGACTGGAATTTTAAGAAGGTTGGGGAACTTTTATGGCCATTAACAATGTTTGTATTGAATACCAGCTCAAGCTGCAATGAGATTAATTAAATCTCCTGCCCCAATACAGAAACCCACTGCCTGAAGGTCCAAAGGAGGACTCCATGTGCCAACAACTCAGAACAGCAGAAAAACAAGGCAGCCTTCTGCAGAGCACTAGTGTTTGTCACTACTGAAGGCAGAATATCAAAGCAGATACTCCAAAGCCATAGCACATCAGAACAACTCTTAACACAACACATGCTTTTTCAGGGCTCAGGAGGGAGAAGATGACTTGACAAATAGTCAGCTTCTGATCAACTGTTGTGCTTACTTTTCTTTCTGGTAGGGCAGAATGGGACTGCAGCTGAGCTGGGGAACATGATTTGCAAGACACATGCATAATAGAAAGGCAAAAGCAATTAAGTGAATAAGTGAATTAAAGCAGATTTACACCTGTGAGCCAATTGAGCCTTACCAGAACCGTATGCATGTAACTCTGTAGCAAGACTTGTCACCGGTGTACACACAACTTCCAAACAGATTCCTAAGATCTGCATGTTTTTGAACCTGATTCAGTAAATCATTTAGAACACAAATGAGAGCATAATTTCTCCCAGTAAGTGGAAAAATACAGCATGCAGGCATTCCTTGCACATACTGCCCTTTCACACTGTTTCTGTGCAATGCTTCTCACTGCAAGGAACCGAGCAGATGAACAATTAGATTGACACTGAACAGTGTTTCAGGCACACAACTCTCTTGGATCCTTGTAATAGCATCAAAAGGACCTGTTTCAGGGACAGAAATGTGCAGCTTATCATTCAGACACTCTCATACTTTAACTCGTAGAAGAAAAAGATGTGTTTGGGTTGGTTTTCTTTTTAATCTTTCCCTCACTGTTACATAAAGCTCTGTTTTGACTTTGCACCCAGGAATATCTTTACCAAGGTTATAAAGGTTGTCAGTTCAGTCTTCACCCTACTGCCCAAGAGGCTCCAATAAGAATGACACTGGGTGAAAGTCAAGGAAGGAGAATGGGAAGGAAAAGACAAAAAAAAAAAAAAACTGAAAAGAAACCTGAAGATTTCTCTGATGGAATTACTGTCTTGGTCAGGTCACCATGACAGCACCCCTTTAAGAGTTAGCCTTGCTACATAAACCAGTATTATCCAGCCCTTTGAGCACCTGACCGTGTTCAATGAGGTTTTGAATTTCACTGTTTTTTTTGGCAAAGCCTCATGTGTTCACAACCTTAAGTCAACATTAAATCCAATCATAAATCCTGCTATCACCATGAATCTGTATGCAGGAGCTCAAAGTGTGCTGCAGGAGAACAAGCTGCTTGAAATCCACAGCTTCAGAACAGACACTTCTGAAAGAAGTAACCCAACTTAGAAAAGAGAATTATTTCATCATTTAGGAAGATTTCAGATACTTTGATGTGCTTTTTTTGCCAACACAATGAAGGAAATGTCCTGCTTCTGCACGACTTTTTCTTCCTTGTGGGAACAGATGGTAAAGGCTTACAAATGCACGACTGGTATTTTTTCAGTGACTCATACCTCAGAGCTACGAGATTCAGATCATCATAAGCAGCCAACCAAGATGGATGTAAGCTTACTTGAGGAGCAGTATGACCACATAAAACAGAAGCAAAAGCTGCAATCACACATTATTGTATTTAAAACAGGTATGCCTGGATTTATAGGAAACGATGTAAATGTAGATGTAAAAACTTTATACTGAATAACTTCTATCTTTGTTCTTTTAATGCTTGGCTTCAAGAGAGGGACAAAGTGTCTACTTTTCTGTCAGTTTAGGGTTTTTATTCATTTCACTAACAGGCAGTCTTTTGGCTCTATCAGCAAGTTTCACAGCGGAAAAACATCAATTTGAAATAGATGAATGCATCTGATTAAAGGTTTTACAGGTTTTAAGTTAGGAAAGTAAAATTCTTAACCTTGCTGTTTATTCTTACAGGAGCCATATACTTCACATCTATCATCAATCTATTTGTGAAATGTACTTTATCAAATTCTTCCATCAGAACAATCAGTCGTGGATCTTCTGTCTCTTTTTCTCTTCTTTATCTATGTAAAGAAATGCATCCTACAAGACTATAGGAGGCAAAACCAAATATCAAGCAAAAGTTGGGCATCTGCTTAGAAAATAACTTCTACTAAGTAACAGTGGGTATCCAAGATATAATCTTGGAACAAAAGGTCCCTTTCTGAAAACGTTTTCATTGCACAGTGCTTGGAAAATAGAAGTGACAGTGTATCAATCATCTTTCTGCTACGCCAGACAGCTTTTATAAAACAAACATTCAACTGTTTTGAAGTTTTCAGTTAAACTACTGCTTGCAATATTGCACTGACATATTTCCAGTTACTTTCTAAGTTAAAGTGATACTGAGAATACTAAATCAATTAATGAAATTGTCTTTGAATGCAATACCAATATGCAAAACGTGCTTAATTCACCTCTGGTGTTAGTAGTTAGCTGAACAAATAGAGAACTTAGGCTATTTTGTTCTTCACATTTTTCTCTACATTTTTCAGCAGTTCTGGATTTTGGCTGTATCTGACTAGGAGGGTCATCGAAACAATTGACAAAACACCTTATTATGAACCAGAAAATATACTAGCTTCCTCAATATCATTTCACCCAAATGGCAAGAAATTCTAATGTTAAATAAACAAGCAAAAAAGCCTATTTAAGGAAGAAAGGGATGTGAATGTGCGAGCTTATTTTATCAGGTATGGAAAGACAACTAACTTGAAGGCAAAGGAACAATATTAGCCAGTTAAAGAAAAGAAGCAGAGGTGTGTATTCTAATGAAATTCAGATGAAACTTCAAATGTAATACACATAATCAGAGCAATTTTTTTTCTTTTTGGCCAGGACACTAATTGAAGATTAAAGAAAAGACAAAGTAGGACCATACAGCTCTGAGAATTTAAAAATTTAGTGGGGCTGGAAGTTGACATACATGTTGTCATATGCATGCACATAGCTCAAAACATTAACAAAAACACAGAACCTATGGCAATGAACTTCTGCCTTTAATCACCTTGTGTGGAGGGGGTTAATGTTGCTGTGAGAAACTGCTGAGTTCTCAGCACCACTAAAGCTAACCTTAAACATTCATGTGGTTTGGAAGTTGGAAAAACCTATTACATAGCTCAGCACTTAGAAGCTGTTACGTGCATCAGTTTCCAAGAGGATGTCAGGATGCAATAACCACCACTATTATCAGATAGCATTGCTACACTCCTTAAGTTACAAGCCTGAGCTATCCAGAAATTCCAGCTCATTCCACAAAGCATTCCATGTGTGCACTGCTTTTCTGTACTGACAGTTATCATTTCCTTGTTACCGTACTCAGAGGGTAAAATTGTTGCTGAAGGGCAACGACAGCAATAAGACTACAGATGCACACAAACCTCCAAGGTCAGAGACATGACATTCCATGGTAGAAGGATGCCTTCATTCCTTCCATGGTCCCAAAAATTCCTGCAAACATTTCTAACTAGGAAAACCTTGAATTGCTTCCTGCAGATAGGCCATCTGTCTTTCCATGGTGCCACAGTGGTTTTGAGCATTGCAGGTTTACAGCACTGCAGTTGGAATGGTAACTTCAAGATTCCATAAGGACTTCCAGCTCTGCATCTCATTATCTGCCTGGTTTGCCAGAGCAATGGAATTGTAAACCTTTAAACAGAATTTCAGACTCCTTAACTTTTCTAGGTTTTTGACTGGTGAGCTACTAAATGATAAGTCACCTTAAAACAGCTTGCCTCTGGTTTGTCCCCAATACACACAGCCACATTCATATTTCTGCCAGTTCCTGATTCTTTGAGAAAAGGGATGACAAGATTTGAAGATCTCCAGGTAGGGGATAACACGATAGTGTGTTTATTATTCATTGGCTAACAAGAAGAAAAGCAGTATTTACTTTAGGAATTAAAATAGCATTCAGAGCATGCAGTAAGAGTGGAATAAACACTGGACCTCTGACTGCAGAAATCTCTTCCAAGACTTCAAAGATCAACTTCTGTTAATTCAGAATCTATGATGACAGCATATGAAAAAGGCCAAATGGTAGACAACCTTACTGCAAGGCTATTATGTGCAATTCAAAAGACCTGTCTTTTCTAAAAGAAAAAAAAGCTTGATCTTAATCAAGCTTTCTTCAGAAGTTCAGGGAGTGCTGAATGTGCATTAGCTCAACAGAGCATGGCTCAGGGCTCCAACATTTCTATTACAGCTCATTGCTCAACTTTGTGTGTTGCACTTGTAGCCAAGGAATCAAATCAAACCTGAACTGAAAACCAGTTTGGATTATTTGACTTGGACTGATGCATTACACTGAACTCTCTGATCAGCTCAAACCAGACTGTAATTCTTCTGAAGACCAGTTCAGATGATTCGAGATAAAACCTGATGTTGCCTATAAACACGAATTCATCTAAAAGTGCAGTGATATCTACAAGAATATGCAAAGCTGCACCCCTGAGAGTCTCTCAGTTCCTCCTTTCTCGTCTTTTCTCTCACATGTGAAGAACAAACCCTCCTTTGTAGCCTGGTGCTGTTGTGCTGACCATTGCTGTGCAAATGGACTTTCCTAGAAAAAGTCTGACCATAAGACTGGCCATAACTTTGATTCTCACTGTTTCATGATACAAAATTGTGCATTCTCATCTCTAAGAATGGCTTCACACTAGGAAATTCTTCTAGTATATTTCACTGTATAGACATATGCACAGACACATGCTCTAAGCTTAGCATGTGCTTTTGTCTCCTCTCTCCTCATAACACTGCACAAAAGCAGAAGATGCACACAACTCTCACTTCCCAGCTCTTATCAGATCAACCTTCTGTGGCCAACTGAGGGGCAGAGAAAATTCTATGATACTGTACAGGTGTTGTTGCTTTAGTAGTGAGAGCCAAAGACAGCAGCAAAAGCCTCTCCTTAACTCAAGCCCCATTGTGCAGGTTCATTTGCTGCCAGTAAATCAGCTGCATCTGATATCTTCAGATCGTTTCTCATAACAGTGATATGAAAGACTGTTAAAAGGATTTTTGCATTAGATTCTTTTTTATGGCAACATCCTACTCCAATTAGTTTCAGTTCAAATTCAAGGTTAGAATTCTCTTAAGTGGCTATTCAGATTTTGTGTTTCAAAATATAATCAACTCTCTATGTCTGTTCTTTTTCACATCAATATACTTCATCATTTGTACTGAAAAAAAATTCAGTTCCCTTAACTCAACCCCATAAATAAGGTCAGCATTCTGCACAAACTCCACTTTAAGCAATATTTATAGTAACTAAAGTGCATTTAATTAGTGCTTACAATGTCAACAGCACTGTTTGTTTATCTTTAGTACAATGGCTCAGATTCTATTCATTTTCAAGGCACAGAAGGCCAGTCATGTTCAGTAATTTAATAGCTGCTACATCTAATTAAGGTAGCATTAGCATTTCTATTTCTAATATCCTATGCATTTCCAGCAGTAACTTTCATAACACATTAGAAATTAAGCCACAGAGATGGGAAAAAATAATTAAGTAATAAATACAAGCCTATACGTTAATGATTCTGCGTTGGGAAAAAGAGGAAAGAAATTCAGAATATTTTTGGGTTGTGAATACAAGTGAATACAGCAGTATCATCTTGAACATCTGTGTCTCAAACCACAGTACCAATCGACACATTAAGCAGGCCCCTGTTCACCTTAAGAATTTTTGCTTACAAGCAGTTAATTACTGAAAGTCAATTCTCAATCTGTGTTGTTAATGAGTCTTAGAGTAGCGCTTAGATCAATATTGACTTGATAAATTTCCATTATCGTTGAACTGACTCTGTGGTAGCATTCATGTCTTCAAACTGCAAAACTGAGTGAGGAATACTTCTCTGTAATCTGGTATCAAAAGAGTTTGAACTACTCTTGGTCACAGATGGAAGGAGTACAGGCACCACTCATCTGTTAAAGCTCTTCAGCTGAAGTAGACCCTTAATTTCTGCCACCCTACTACAGTGCATGTATGTGTTTCTCTTACAGGTGAGCATGAATCCGTTCTCCCAGAATCAATGGTCAATGCTGTTTTAATTAATAAAAAAGTTAAAAATTCAAAGTCATTTACAGAACGTGTCCCTGTCAGAAAGGTCAGGCTGGAGGTAACCAGCAATGGCACTGCACACGACAGCTCACCCTGGCGTACTCACCTGGGAATTCACCTCCTGGCACAAACTCCTTGTAAGAGAGCTCCCTGGGATCTTTCCCACTGCAGGAATGAATCGTGCAGTTCTGACAATCAGAGACTGGTTCCAAAGGAAGATGGCACACTGCAACACAAGGAATTAGAAGAAGCGAGTGAATTATCCGTGCTAAGTTCAACATTGAGCAGTTTCAGCAAAGAGAGTGGCAGCACCATCTCAGGAACTTGCCAAAAGCCTGCTCTGAAGTCAGACACTTCAGCAGTCGGGACGCATCAGCACATTTCCTCTACAAAATATATGCCAGCTTGCCACAAGTTAGACTTTTATCCTTTCCCTAATAAAAAAGCACCCAGAATTTCAGAAGCAGCAAGGAGGCTTGGATTATATGTCTCACAGTGAAGACACTCAGCAGTAAATAAAGTTCACTCAAAAATTTGAGTAAAACTTAAAGCAGCAAAATAGCATTCCTAGTTACTGTGATCAACCTGCTGAAGGTCTCCTATTAGCCAAGGAAGATCTTCACAAAATAAATTGTTGCTGTACAGTACAATCTAAAGAGAGTTGTAAGGAAAATGTTGGACTGAAACAGAAGCTCACTTTTGTTATTCTAGATACTGGAGCAATTTTTCTGGGCTGTTTCCCCTCTATTTTCAGGTTACTTATTTAGGAAAAAGACTGCATCATAACAACATTTGAAATATCTGAGAGCTATAGCAAACATTAGCAAAACTGCTGGTGAAGCAACAAGGCTGAACTTCAGTATGGTACGATTTGACTAGAAAATTAAAAAAATGAGCAATGAAACAGTACTGAAGGTGATTCATACACTTAATATGATTTCCTAAAAGCCTCTTCTAAAAAAAAAAAGATATTCATTATAATTTTAATGCAGTTTTAAAAGCAATTAATAAAATCTTTGCTCACATCTGTTGTTGTTTTGATGGGACACAGTAAATGGTACATTTTTCTTATATATAAATGCTGTAAAAATACATTGTTGACTCCCTTCTACACACTTCTATAGACACAGCTTAACCTCACATGATTGGCCTCAACACAGACATTCAGCTTATCCAGATCCTTCTGTAGGGCCTTTCTACCCTCAGGCAAAGCAGCGCTTCCTCCCAGCTTGGTGTCATCTGCAAACTTACTGAGTGTGCACTCAATCTCCCTGTCCAGATCATCAATAAAGATATTAAACAGGGCCAGCCCCAGTACTGCTGCCTGGAGAACACCGCTCCTGACCACTCCATTCACCACCATTCTCTGGACGTGGCCATAAGAGCCAATTCTTTCACAGGAGATTCACAGTGTAAGTGTTGAATCACAGAATGGTTTGGGTTGGAAGGGACCTTAAAGCCCACTCAGTTCCATGGGCAGGGACACCTCTCACCAGACCAGGAGCCCAAAGCCCTGCACGGATGGGGCATCCACAGCTTCTCTGGGCCTCACCACCCTCTGAATAAAGAATGTCTTCTCTTTGTCCAATCTACTTTCTTTTTGTTTAAAACCATTACCTGCCCTTGTCCTATCTCTAAACAGCTTGGTAAAGAGTCCACAGCCAGGTTTTTTTTTGCAAATCTCCTTTGAAAGGCAACAATAATGTCACCCCGGAGCCTTTTCCAGACTGAACATCAACTCCCTCAGTCTTCCTTCATAACAGAGGACCTCCAGCCCTCTGATCAGCTTTGTGGTCTCCTCTCCACCTGCTCAGGGCTCCAAGACGAATGCAGTGCTCCAGGTAGGAATATCATGTTACCATGGCACAGTATTTTGTAAGACCACAGAAAAGGAAAAACCACCATGGAATACAATGCTATTCTACTTCTCCTTGCCAAGTGCCATCTCCTCTGTGCCACTCAAAGTAGTTCCTAAATTCCATACTGCCACACAGTGATCCAGCCAGCACCAATAGACTGGCAGGCACTTCTCTTCTATAAGTAACCATCCATAACCACAGAATCACAGAATGGCCAGGGTTGGAAGGGACCTCAAGGATGATGAATCTCCAACCCCCTGCCACAGGCAGGGCCACCAACCTCCACATTCAATACCAGACCAGGCTGCCCAGGGCCCCATCCAACCTGGCCTTGAACACCTCCAGGGATGGACGGGGCATCCACAGCCTCTCTGGGCAGCTGTTCCAGCACCTCACCACTCTCTGTAAAGAACTTCCCCCTGATATCCAACCTAAATCTTCCCTCCCTCTACTTAAAACCATTTAAAACCATTTCACTTGATCACTTGCTGTGATTTTTCAATGTTTTCCTTTTCTTTTTTTTTTAATATTTTCAATTAATTGATTCCTATTTCTGGGTAGGCATGAAAAATTAATAAGCAATCACAACTAACTTATAAAAACAAACAGAACTTAAAACAACAACGAAAGAAATAAAATACAAACCAAAACCAAAAACACAGTACTAAGAGTACTAAAAAAAGAACTGAAAAAAAGATAAATTACAATTATGGATAATAGGTAAAGGTATAATAGGGATAAAATACCAGATAACAACCAGCTATATGAAACAAGAAAGTACCTGGAGAGAAATATCAAAGGACAATGAGTTTTTTGAACTCTGTGGTGCACATTAGCTTTCTGTTTTCCTGTCATGCTGATTACAGAGTTTATTGATTTATACTCCAGCCTTTCATTATACCAGAGTGTTGTTTTTGTTGTATCTACAAGTCTGGAGACCACAACAGAATCACATCAAGATAAAGGAACAACTGAAATTAAAAAAAAGTCACGTTGGCAAGGATCCACTATAAAAAACTATTAAAAATTAAATTCAGGATCACTTTGACATGATAGTTGCAATGAAACACTTGAAAACATTTCAGTGAATGCAATTTAAATTTTTAAATCAGTATCACAGAAATTCTAAAATCTTATCTACCTTCTCTGTACACCCATTTGACTAAATTAGTGATATTATTTTCTGCAAATACTTCTAAATTGATTTTAAAGTGCTTTGAATTAGTTATCTTAACTAAACACAGACTTGAATACCTTGATTTAAAAGTCAGTGAAAGTTTATACACATACTAAATAGCTAAATCTTTGCAGGCACTTTCATAGAACCACTTTGTCCTTTCCTGAGGCTTCTCTAGCATGCTAGTGTGCTTTGTATGACGAGCTTAATCAGGAAGGGCATTTTGCCTTTGGAAAAGTCCTTTAGTTTAAATCCCAAGGACATAAGAGAAGGAACATTTCAGTACATTTTCATTTGTTAATGGAGTATTGTTAGTTATGAGAAAAGTGGCTGAACCTGCATTTCAAGAGATTAAAATATTATACAGGTGCATTGCCTGAAAATTGTTATTTTTTCCCTAAAGCAGCCTTAGTAAAAGAAATGAAAAAGGGAAGAATTTCATGAGAAAAATGGAAAACTTCAAATATTGTGAAGTCACAGTTCTCAAACTTACCTGATTTTCAAAGCACTTTGCTGTTTGCTGTTCATGTTTGGAACTCATGGGGAATAACTGTCATTACTGGATTACGGTAGCTTTAGCAAAGCTTCAAGCACAGAATTCAAGAGTATCAGAAAAGTAAACAGAGTAACAATAACCTTACTTTAACAGTGGGCAAATGTGACTGATTTATGCACACAGGAGAGTTCACAATCCTGAAATTCTAGTTCAGAGTTTGCGAGCAAGACACACAATACCTGCGGGGCCACATAACTGCCTAAGGAATATGCTTTACATGATGACTGATCTGCAGGGCCATCTAGTCCAAAATAAACAACATCCTTGGACAATGCTTTCCCTCACAATATCAGGGCAATTTGAACAAAAGTTTAGTCAGGCATTGGAACAGGCTGCATGGTGGTGGGGTCATCATTCCTGGAAGTGTTCAAGAAAGGTGTCCAGAAATGTGGTGCTGAGGGACATGGTTCACAGGGCATGGTGGCAATGGGTTGAAAGTTAGACTAGATGATTTCAGAGGTCTTTTCCAACATTGATGATACCATAAAAATCCTTAGCTGCCTGGACAGTTTTGGGAGTACGTGGGACCTTTGGGGGTCCTACATACAAATATAACATCAAGTGTCTACTTTGTGCAGCCTTGTTAGCCTCACCCCATTCCTAGCAGTGGGCCATTATGGGCACTAGAGCAGAAGGTACAATATATATTGTAAGGGAAATGGGGCCAAAACATCTGAGTCTGGGAGGTCTGTACAGTGCCCTGAAAGGCGGTTGTACCAAAGGTGGGCATCGGCCTCTTCCCCCAGGTAATAGCAGTAAGATGAGAAGCAATGGCCTGAAGCTGCACTGGAGGAGATTCAGGTTGGATTTTATGAAAAAAATTAATCTCAGAAAGACAGGTGATGAAGTGGCACAGGGTGGTGGAGTCACCATCCCTGGAGGTGTTCCAGAACTGTGGAGATGTGGCACTGAGGGACAGAGTCAATGGGCATGCTGGGACAGGTAGAGACTAGACCTTAGTTAGACCTTCTCTAACCTTAATGATTCTGTGAGTTATCGCCATGTACAGTGCCACATGTAATAGTTTTCCAGCCCAGCCTCTGAGTCCAGGTTAATTTTGACACCCTTACAACAAACACAAACTTGTTTTCTAACCCCAGGCCCACACAGACACGCTTACCCTGCACACAGCAACCATCACACCCGGCTCTTCCCCGGCACCTCTCAGCCCTTGGAAAGGCCCCCCAGCACTGACAGGAACCTCTGCCTCTTTTGCCTCACAAGCAGAAAGGTTGCGGGTGAAAGGGTCTGACAGGTGAAAGGATAAAAAGGAGAAGCAGGTACCTAAGCACCAGCACTTCTCAAGGTGCAAAACAGGCAAACGAAGAGCAGAAGGCACAGCATGCCACCGAGCGACCAAACACCGCGCACGAACACACACAAGTGAGGGCAAAGCCCTAAAATGGCGGGCGGGGCTTGGCTTCACCACGTGACCTCCCACTTCCCGTCTCAGCGCAGGAATCTCCCGGAAGCCGGAAGCCGGCAGCAGCAAAGGGCGTTACAGAACCCCGCCCCATATAGCTGCCCTCCCTAAGGGGAGCGGTGCGCCTCGCTTTTCCTACGGGCCTCTGCCAGTGGGTGAGCTGCCGCCCAGCTGCCCCTCAGAGCGGGCTCTGGGTCCGTGGTGGGCTGGGACAGCTGTTGGTAGGGCTCGCTGTCCCCCTTGGCCTGAGCGCCGAGGCCCGCGTTCAAGCGCAGGGCTCAGGTGGGTGCCTCCTCTCACGCTGAGGTACCGTACGGCCTCCCCGGGCCTCGCCCTTCTGTCAGCGTGGTGCTTTGGAGGCACCCAGCAGTGACAGCGCTGGGAATCGCCCCCTGCGGCACGGGGGTGGGGGTGTCGGTGCTGTCAGGGCAGGGGTGAGCCGGGTGTGTGCTGAGGGCGGCCCAGGGCTGCTGCTGGGTGCCCGTTCTGCTGCTTAGCTTCTCTATCGCCTCTGGAGCTGTCAGTGAGCATTAAATCGGTGCTATAGGGAGCCTTGCTTATGTTCTTTATGCAGTCTGTTTTATTACTGGGCTGCTCAGAATCCTTCCCTCAATGATTTGGCTTTCAAACCTGCGTTTGTTTTTCTGAGCCCAGCTGGTTCAAGTGACATCTGTGTGGCAAAAGCTCAGTCTGGTGTTCAGAGCAGCCCTTGGTAAATCCCCACTGGTTGTTTTGAGTTTTTGGAGAGCCCCTTTAAGCTCAGTGAAAGTGAAACCATCTCAGGGATGCTTGTGGGATTGTCACTCATAAGTTCTTTTTAAGGATTCTCTTGCCATTTACTTAAGGTGAAATGGTAATTCATTATGAATGTTAAAGTTTTTTAACAGCTATATCTGTGTTATTACTTGTGGAAAGGAAAATGTTCTTTTTATGGAGGCTTGATAAGGGTAAGTTTAATTGGAGACTTTGGTGTTGCTTCCTGGTTCTATAGATGAGCAGATTTACAAAACTGTGAAGTACCAATCTGATAAGAAGGTGAATGACCAGCTTCCAAGTGTTACCTGTATAATTTGTGGACTTAAAGTGTCTAGATGCCTTAAAATAAAGGATATTCTTTTGTTTCTGAAGTTATTGTTAAGTGGAAATATAGTGATGGTTTGGTTGTTCAGCACATCCTGAAAATTGCAAAAAAATGATTGTATTTCAGCCTGGAGAAAAGAAGGCTGCAAGGTGACCTTATTGCAGCCTTTCAGTACCTAAAGGGAGCCTACAAACAGGAGGGGAGTCAGCTCTTTGAAAGGGTAGGTAACTGCAGGACAAGGGAAATGGTTTTAAGTTGAGGGAGGGGAGATTAGGTTGGATGTCAGGGGAGTTGCTTTACCATGAGAATGGTGAGGTGCTGGAACAGCTGCCCAGAGAGGTTGTGGATGTCTCATCCCTGGAGGTGTTCAAGACCAGGTGGGATGGGGCCCTGAGCAGCCTGGTCTGGTATTGAATGGGGACATTGGCAGCCCTGCCTGTGGAGTGGAGGAGTTGGGGGTTGAGGGGGGAAGGGTTGGAGCTTCATGATCCTTGAGGTCCCTTCCAACCCAGGTCATTCTGCGATTCTGTGATATGGGATTTATGTGATGTGTTTTGGGAAAAAAAATGGGAAAACTGCACTTTAATACCATCTTTTGGAAACTGGATATGTTTGTTCCTTTCTGCTTGCAAATGCATGTTTTGTTTTGGCCCTGAAGTAATAACAGCATCTCAGTGAGACGAAGAATGTGTGTTTTCTCACCTGGTTTGATCAGACACTATGTGAACTACAGGAAACAAACTGGAAGGGTTTTTGAAGCACCTGCTGCTCAGCTGTTGTGGCCTTTTGCTAGAAGAGTCTTTATGGCATTCAGAGGTTCTTTGTATCTCACCAAAACTGCAGTTAAGATTAACTGATACGTTTAACTGACCTTTTTTTTTTTACCTACATTTTTTTGCTCATTAAGTGTGCCCTTCTGAACAAGGAACAGGCTTTGAATCTGGACACAAGGGCAGTGATTTCTGATTCTTCTCTTTTTTCCCCCCATTTTCTTGAGAGCTCTGTGCTGATAAACAAGAACAAGAAAAAATGAACCCACTCTTAAAGAAAAGTGACAGTTTAATCAGTTTTCAATGCCCGCAACTTAAATGTCTTTCTATATAAATTAACAGACATCTCCCATATGATTCCTGGTGTGCAAGAGCCAAGTCATAAGTAAATAGATTTTCTTTGTGGTGTGTTTTTTTTTTTTTCTTCCAAGATCATCTTATCCTCCTTTCCTTACCCTCTCTCTGCCTTCTCTAATTCCTTGCTATAGAATCATAGAGGTTGGAATAGGTCCCTAAGGTCATTCAGTCCAATCAACCACATATCACCAATATTTCCCACCAAACCACATCCCTCAGTACGACATCTAAACATTTCTTGAACACCATTTTTTTTTTTTTTAATGGATTTTTTTTTCATGGAAATGCTGATTTACTCAGAGGTAACTGCTTTTTCTCAACTGAATGTAACTTGTGATGAGTTCAGCCTAAATTGTCACCTGTGAGCCAGGGAATTGCTCTTTTCAGCACACTGCCAACTTGTCCCTAGTGATGGGTGCTTCATTGCGTGCTGCAGATCTACAGTGCACATCACATTGAATCTCAGTCTCTGTACTTTATGTTGCTTGTGCTCTTTGTGCTTTTTCTGCAGTGGGAGTGGGAAGAACGTATCGTGGACTATGACAAGCTGCTATTTCATCACTGTGATAGCAAATGATTGAGATCTGAGAGGGGAGGCATGGATCTTGGCACTGATTTCATTTGCTGGAGGGATGAGGACGTTGTGTTATGGTCTTCTCATGGGGAAGCTTGTGGGACTGAGATGTTTCTTCTTGACATCTCTTTTCTGTCTTCCAAAAGAGTCATAACTTGTGTTCAGTGGCTGGTGGAGAAAAGCAGGAAGGCAGAGGCATAGCACAGACACGTTTTGCAGAGGGATTGGAATGAGCAGATCTTTCCAGGGCAGGAAAGAATAGTTTTGTCATGGATTTTGAAGAAGCAATGTGTTCTGCAATTGTAGCTTATATGAGAGGTTAGGAAGAGATTTCCTGCCACAAAATACTAAATTGGGGGGGGGGGGGGGTTCCTGAATTGTCTATGTTCCAATTTTTGATAGTAGTTTTGTTGTTAGGTTCCCTTCCCAACCAAAATGTGTTTCATACTCAATGGTACTTTTTGCTTGTTTGCTTTTCTTTAAAAGAATGGCACAAAAGAAGTATTTGATAGCAAAGCTGACAAGTTGCTTAAGAGAAGACAAAATTCAGCTGTGGAAGCCACCATATACAAATGATAAAAAAGAAGCTGGTGAAGAGATGAAGGTAAATATTCCATCTGAGCTGGTGTCATGTGTCCTCCAGTCGTATTACTGGTGCATTTCACCAGATTTTTCTTGCTGTTTTCTTAGGAGCTTGTCCAAAAATATTCATCCAAGCTGAAAATCAATCAGAATGATGCAGAGAATATGCTGGAAGAAATACGGTGTAAAGCAATTGAGCGTGGAACAGGAAATGAAAATTATAAAGTGACTGGGATTGCAAGACTTGATATACATCTGCCTCGGAGGAAAGTAAGCGATGTTGGAGAAAAGTTGGGAGAAGTAACTTTCCTTTATGGCCTTCTGAGTTCTAGTTATACATCCAGTGCAAACTTGTTCTTCCTCAACTTGTTTGGGTGCTTTGCATGATGAATCTGTGTTTGGTATTAAAAAAATAATAATGCTGGAGGTGGGGAGGGAGAAGAAGTTATGTAGATATAGTTTTAGTTCCTCAGATATATGAGAATATCATGAAGGGGGGATATAGTGTTGGGTGACTAGTAATTGTCTTCCTTGTAGGATTTAATGAGAAATGATCTTTCAATTAAGAAAAGTAAATTAGATTTGAGTTTGTTTAGTTCAATTTAATTTCTTCTGACTTAACTGTTCATGTTAGTAATAAAGAGCAGATTTTTTTTTTTTCAGTTGTAAAATACCTAAAGTTGCATTAGCAAATGAATATCACTTTATTACCACAGCTCTTGTTTCAATGACAGCTTTAATTTTTTAAGAAGTCCCCTTTCTTTTTAATTGCAATGACCAAATTGAATGCTCTGTCATCTTAAGTGGTGTATGGCTGATATAAAATAGTCCTCCTGTAGCTTTTAACCATGGCACATGGCAGTGCTCTTACAGTGATTTATATTGTAACTGTTCTAGACCTGGCAGCTAACTAAACCTCCAGTGTCTGAACTTGGAAAGGTATGATTTTCTGTTATGATGGTACTCATCTATTTTAAGTGAGGTTCCAAACAATTTGCCCCTTACATCCAGGCTTCAGCCTTTAGTTTCCTGCATAAAACATACCACAGTAATGAAATTGGTGTCACTCTGGTTGCTGTGCTGGATTCTGAGGCTGCATCTACCCTGCTCAGCTGAACTTTAGTCAGCTAAAGCCCACTGGCTGTTCTGCAGTCACAGCTGTTTGCATCCTCTGAAGCAGCTCTGCCCAGGCCACCTGCTGTTCTGCCAAGCAATGGTCAGGCACAAGGTGAGGGACTGATCTCCATCAGTGGTTTGGATACAGCTGTGCTGTTTTGAAGGCTGAGAGGATTCAATTCTATGGATGTGAGCTGCTTTACAGGACAGAGAACAGCTCTTGGTTAGTTTCTTACTAGTGCAGACAAAGCCAGTGTCTGGCAAACACAATTGCCATCTTAGATCACTTTCTAGTTTTGGTTCTGCTGAGTGAGAGCAGCATCTTCCCCAGAGCTGTGTATCTTGATCTGCTCAGATAACATAGAACTTCTTTGCTTAGGGACACTTAAAGGTTGCATTCATCTTTGCAGCAGCAGCAATGAGTGGTGACTCTGGAAAAGGATAATATATTTCTGCTGAAGATGGTGATCTTCAGA